TTTGTAGTAGTGGTCCATATCTATACAAGCAGAGACAATAAGGCTGAGTCAGCTTTTAAGTCGATAAATCCTACATAAAAGAGAATGGAAAAGAGAGGGTAAAGTGGGCTTATATATATATAGGAGCCCGGTAGGGAAAAAAAAGGGACAGTACCGTTTACATGCAACATGTGTAGATGATAGCATGATTGATTTGTAGGCTTGTATAGTTATCGGATTGGTGGTTGAGATAAAAGGTTGGTTGAAGTGATGCGCCACAATTTGATCATACTAAAAAGTTAAATGATAGGATTTTAGTAATCTGTGTGCAGTAATCCAATAGCTATTGTAAAAATTACCTATTCATATACTCCCTCCGTTTCGAAATGTTTGACACCGTTGACTTTTTAGCACATGTTTGACTGTTCGTCTTATTCAAAAACTTTTGTGAAATATGTAAAATTATATGCCTACATAAAAATATATTTAGCAATGAATCAAATGATAGGAAAAGAATCAAACATGTGCTAAAAAGTCAACGGCGTCAAACATTTTGAAACGGAGGGAGTATTTGATATGGATAATTTTGGAGCCAATAACCAGCTGCACTATCTATCTTGCCTATATCGTGTCTACCATATCTATACATGCTGGTACATGTTGCCCACTATCTATAGTTGAGGTACTTTAAAATTTGTGGTTATGCCAACCACCCACCATCACTCCTATGTGGAGCCATAAAAAATAGGGTCAGTGAATTGTATATCAAGCTAACCACTGGAAAATAGAACTGGTACACATATGGTATCTTTGATTGATATTAGGAAATGATTTTATAACATATATGTTAAGCTAACCTCGAACATTAGATTAAGAGAAATTTTATAGTCCTTAAGAGGATAGAGGTACCACGAGGTACCAAATATGAGCCGTTGATCCCTCGAGATCGAACGGTTGGCGAAATTTGGTACCGACTGGTATAGCAGCGCTCCCCACCAGGTACCGCCTCTCCTTTCTTAAGATTTAGTGCAAAAATATACTTTCACATATAGTATCATTCTACTTCTTGGTCCTTCTTGCCATCTCGCAGGAAGAACGAAAAATGCAAAAGAAAGCCAGCCATAGGAAGCGCAAGATTTGGTGGCTTCGACGCCGTCCGGCGTGCGCTAGCAGGGGACATGATTCATCCACCCCAAGCTTGGGAGGCAAGAGATCTAGCCGCTCCCGACGCCGCCACCCCCTCGTCCCTCCTCCCTAGTCCGCTTCAGCCGGGGGCGGTAGCTCAGTGGTTTCAACTTTAATTCTTAGCCGGATTTATGGGTGCTGGTGTTATGTTTGAACTTTGAATCCTCAACACTCAATTTTCTTTCCACTTCTTTTTTCTCCCTTACCTCACGTGAAGAAGTTACCTTAACAAGATGAGATAGTGAATTCAGCATCCTCAGCATGTTTCTTTGCCGTCTGCCGGGGAAGTTGAGATGGGGGATGCCTGGTGGTGGGTTTAGAAGGGAAGAAGGGGCCAAAAAGGAGTTGAAGACGGAGAGAGCGCTAGGCCGTGGAATCGCGTTGGCCGCCGGGCCATCTCACTACCGTCACCTCCAGGACAAGAGGACCAGGGGGGAAAGACCATGTACCCCATGAATCAAAGGGCGCAAATGAGAGGAAAATGGGATGCATCTACAGGGGCCTCTCCGGCGCAAGCAAAGGTGAGACGGCATGGAAAACCGCTGGCAAAAAACCTCGTCGCCAAATCAAAAGGAGGAGCAATGAGAGATTGCGGAGGTGTGAACAGAAGACATCGGGTAAGGACAGGAACAGAATGGCGCTAGCTAGATCAACCTGGAACAGGCTTTTTTCCATCTCTGTCTTGCCCCTACTAAATCGAAGGTCGGATTTGCCACCTCCTCGAGGATGGTAAAAATACTATTAAATTAATGTAAAAGTATTATCTTATATGAAATGGTGTAAGAACGGAACGATTATAAGGTCTCATTTTGTAAAATTTCGTTGCAACCCACGGGTGTATATTTAGTTTAGGGTGTGTTTAGTTCACGCTAAAATTAGAAGTTTGATTGAAATTGAAACGATGTGACGGAAAAGTTAGAAGTTTATGTGTGTAGAAAAATTTTAATGTAATAAAAAAGTTAAAAATTTAAAGAAAAAGTTAGAAACTGAACCAGGCTTTACTATCTGTACCGTACATGCTGGGCCTGCTGCCACCTGTATGATTGATTTGATATTCATATTGCTGCCGTCTTACGCCGCTCGCACCGTCGTTGCGGCCGGCGCACGTGGTGTATCCATCTATCGCGCTGTCTCCCCTTCTTCCCTTCGCTCGTGCGCCCGCGCACTACCGGCTGTCTGAAACCTACCGACTCGCCCGCACGATGCACTCACCACCAATCTAGCTACTACAGTACTATCTCTATCTGCTAATTCGGTCTGGCTCCGTTGGCCACAGCGCGCGCGCGCGGACGGCCAGCCTAATCAACGGCAACAAAACCTGCAGGCCCGCACGCCCACCTGAATCACGCGCCCGCCCGCTCAAAAGGCCGGGAAATCCACAGGTGGATGAGTGGATCGGGCGTGACGCGAGACCAGCTCGCGCGCGCGCGCGCCGGCCGCTAGCTGCGCTGCGCCCAGACGCGGGCTTTGCCGCTGGATCATCAATTCATCATCGATCTCCTCCGTGAATTCGGGGTTGTATAGGTTTGTAGGAAAGCAAGTAACGCCGTGCTACGCATTAGATTGGATCGTCGGTGTTAGGCCATATAACAGTCGTAGCAACATGCGCATCATGCATGTGACAGGTGCTGCAGGCCTGCAGGGCTTTGCTTGGCGAAAATCTTGAGAGCCTCACCTTCCCAGCCAGCAGCTGTAAGATAAGGACGTAACACAGTGATGATATGCTGTTTTCTCTTCTTAATGGCAGATTAATTTGCAGCCAGCGTCACATGCACCAGGAGGATCAGTCTTGGGATAAGCACAGTGAAGAGTGCATCTAATTAATATCTGGTGAGAAGTACTGTAGAATCTTCACTGTTATCTTACTCTCTTTCTTTTTCTATCTTACCTTCTCTTCTTCACCAACCTGGCCCTTCTCTGGTTGACAGCTCCACGTCGATTTCATCCTTTATTACAGTATGGTTTTATCTGAAAGATTATTCCATAGTTCTTTTCAATTGGATGGTTTTATTTTTTTTCTTTTGGTTTTCTAAGTTTTATCCTCCAAGACAATGTATTAGAGAATATCCACGGAACTCAAAGTTTTATCCTCCAAGACAATGTATTAGAGAATATCCACGGAACTCATCTTTAGTCCCAGTTTATAATCCCTTTATTTCTGAATCGAAAACCGGACATCCAATCCGGAACTAGAGATGGATCATTACCAACTAGAACTAAATGTGTTTTTTTTCTTTTTTTCATTGTTTTTTACTGTTTGCATATTAATTTTCCCAAATCAAGTTGCTCTCTACACTACATCCCCAAATCACAGATTCGCAAATAAGATAATATCACGGATTAACAAATAACATCATAGATTCACACATTCAAATACATCACAAATTCTTAAAAAAAAAAAGAATGAACATGCGCCGCCGCCATCTCCTCCCCTCCCACCGCCGGAGCAAGAGAGAGAGCTTGAGAGAGAGAGAGAGGGAGAGGGAGAGGGGATCGAGAGAGGCGCCACACACATCACTAAGTGCTAGTTATATACGCCGCGTTAATCTATAGTCTAAAGATAGTGGGGGGCTAACACTTTTTGAATCGGGACTAAAAATGATCAAAAAGTACAGCTGGGCTTTTGAATCGGGATTATATATATCTTTTAGTCTCAGTTCCTAATAGAATCGGGACTAATGTTATTTTTAGTATCTGAGTAAAGATCAGTTATCCAGTAGTGATCTTACCCCAGCTCCTATAATTTGGTTTTAATCTATAGTAATATCTTAAGTTTTCCAAAAGAAAAAAATTACATCCCGTACAACATGGGCCTGAATTCTTCCAAGACCGTATACAACGTGTTTATACTGAGTCTTGTAGTAGTAACTTGTAGGAACGCCAACTCACCATCAAGCAAAACGTGTTTGCTCCGGTTGGCCGTCGGCATTCTAAAGTCACGTAGAACACGCGCGCGCATTCTAAAGTCAGCCCCGGCCCGCCTGCATCAGCATGCGGACCGGCCCGGCCGCGCTGTCGTGAACTCGCGCAACATGCGCGCGCGTGCGTGATGCGTCGACCGATCGGGACGCGGCCGAGCGCTTTGCTCCTCCTCCACCTCCTCCGTTTCCACCGCATCCGCGGATCGATCGATCGATCGGTGGGGGCGTGGGCGTCGCAATCCTCCCAAAAGCGGCGGCGGCAACGACGGCGAAGATGGGACGGTGTGGGCCTGCAGGTCTGAAATTTTTACATTTTGGTCCTTTTTAAAAACTTATTTTACAAATAGACCCCTGAAAAAACTTAAACCGGAAATGGTCCTTTTTGGGACGCCAGAGTGGCTGGCGCCGTACCCCAACATGGCGGCGCCAGCCACACTGGCGTCGTGCCTGTGCCACCGTGGCAGTAGGGCTGTCGTGGAGGTGCTGACTAGGCCGAAGGGGGCGCCAGCCAGAGTGGCGCCGCCCCTCATACCACGGCGCCAACATGGCTGGCGCGCCCCTCCTCTACGGGCCCCACCAACTTTCTTCCCCCCCTCAAAATTTTCGCTTCTGCCTCCGGGCAACGGCTGGCGCCCCCCCCCAGACCGCGGCGCCAGGGTGGCTGGTGCCCCCCTCCTCCCCCCATCGAAGCCCTTCTGCCTCCGGGCCTCGGCTGGCGCCGCCCTCATGGACCACAGCGCCAGGGTAGTTGGCGCCGCCCTCCCCCCAGCCCGAAACCCTTCTGCCTCGCGGCACTGGCTGGCGCCGCCCTCCTTAACCGCGGCGCCAGGGTGGTTGGCGCCGCGCTCTGCCTCCCTGCAAATTGAAGATCCATATTGCACAAATGTACCAATTCACAGTTCGCAATTCAAATCACAATTCACAAATTCATACGGACTAAAACAAGTTCCAATTGCACAAATCACAATGCCAAAAGTCCATCACATAGTCCTCACATAGTCCATCACATATTCCACACATCAAACAATGCCAAAAGTCCATCACATATTCCACACATCAAACAATGCCAAAAGTCCATCCTATATTCCACACATGAAACAATGTCAAAAGTCCATCACATAATCCATCACATTTTATATCACATAGTGCACCACATATGTCATACTACCAACAAATAGATTAACTTCATACAAATCACTTCTTCCGTTGGCGTCGAATAGCTTGCGAGCCCGGAGTGTACCTACATTTGAAAATCCAATGTTTAAAACATTTTAAAAACAAAATGAGGGAAATCAAATAACATTTGAGAATGGTAAGCTCATTTTACCTCTTTTTCACTGCCCAAGTGGATCGCAAGTTGTATTGCGTGGGTTGCATCCCCTGAGGCGCGTCGGGAAGCTGCGACATGTCTATCTCCTCAGCGTCTGGTGCGACGTAGTCCTCATCCTCCTCCTCGTCGTCGTCATCGTCGTCGCTAGGTGGAGCCGGCGCCTTCCCCTTTCCCCTCCCTTGCGGAATGCGTGACGACGACGAGCCACCAACTTCTTCACGCTCTTCTATCCTGATGGAGTGTCGAGCGGTACTTGGACGCGCGGAGTGAGGTAGTGGTGGTAGTAGTCTTCGCGGTTGGTACACGTCGTCCAATCCAACCGACTTGCAACCTAATCTTGCTGCAAGTTTCCGGCACCTTTGACGAACTTTCTGCATTTCAAAAAAAAAAAGAAGTTTGTTAGGCATAACTCAAGTAATGCAAAGTGCTAAATAAATTTTACCTCTAAAACATTGCAGAGTGTGTTCTCCGTGTCCTCACCACCCCTCGGAGCTTGGAGGGCATGCCCCATTTCATTCACACTCCTGAGGAGCTCTCTCGACTGAAAGCGTGAGAAGATATATGTTAGGGTCTAGGGTGCAAATGGAAATAACTTTGACAAATGCAAGAAAATTTACGACTCTGTCTCTAAGTGGGGCGTGCTCCATTTGATATCCAACTCTAGTCCGGACATCATAGGGATTCCGTCCCTCATCGGAGTCGCGGTCATCCTCTATGTCGGCTTCCGTCCAAGTAGGGCGGAGGAACAGTCTAGATGTCCTATGCAGCCAACGAAGGTACTCTGAGAAAAGATGATTTTGGTGTATAGTCTCGATGTACCTGTCGTTCCTTTCGGCTGTCCTCCATTAATGTATCTATTATGCTCTAGCCCCCAGTCTTTCACCTTCTTTGTTCTCACCCTGTCATACCTAGACAAGTAGAAGGTGATGAAACAATAGTGAGCATCGACAAGGGTTAAATGGTACAAAATTGAACATTGACAATGAAAGCAAACAAAGATAAGAAATATTTACTTGTGTAATTCAACTCCAGTTGAGATGTCCTCAACCGGCCAGTCTTGTTTCTTCCCGAACTGTCGCATGACACGGTGCGGAAGGTGGTACTCAACTGCCCAGAAACAAATCAATGGGCACTGGTACATGAAATAGTCAGAGTCTCGATTGCACATCGAGTTCAGGGTCAGGCTTGAAGCCTCATTTGTGTGGTATGGTAACCATTCAATCTGCAAAAGTTGAAGAGATGTCGTTAGTTAGTATCTCAATTAAAGAAGTAAATGTCTAACTAGAAGTGATATTGGAAGTACTTACATGTTGAGGCTGTAAGCAGTCCATCTCATTGACATAATGCTTGTATGCCACATCCCAGTGAGCATGTGCAGTGGCAGTACTCTCAAAAAGGTAGGCCACTGTCTTCTCCATGTCTGGCTCATTGTAGGGCCAAGGAGTGAAGCTTTGCCTCCACTTAGGCCTTCCAACCGGTAGTCTTAACCACATCCACAGCTGAATCAATAGCACACAACCACTCATGTTGGATGATGGTGCCTGACGACAACAGGCCTCACAGAGCTGTCTATATGTCCACGCCAACACTGCTGAGCCCCAACTGAAACAGCCTAGATCACCAAGGTTGGCGACCAAAGGAATCCATATCGCCGAAGCAATGTCACCCCCAGCATCAGGAAACAGAACCCCTCCCAACAAGTGCAAGATGTATGCACGGGCATAACACTCAACACGCCATGGCTCAGCGTCGTCGTCAAGATGTGAGAAGTTCTGACTCAGCCAAGACAAGGGTATTCCATTCTGCTTCTTCTTCCCCCCTTGCCCCTGCTCAATGTTCAGTGGAATGCCAAACAGCTGCTCCACTTGTGCACGCCATCCAGGAGTCTCTGTCCTGCCCGTCACGGCATGCCCCCGTAATGGGAGGGCCAAGATCATAGCCACATCCTGTAGAGTGATGGTCATCTCACCACTAGGGAGGTGGAAGCTGTGTGTCTCAGGCCTCCATCTGTCCACAAGTGCTGTCAACGCAGGAGCGTTGAACACTGGCATTCCTCTGCTCACGACCAAGGCCACCCCGAGCAACCCGACCGCCCTTAGGTACGGGATGTACCTATCGTCGAACACTGGGGGGGCATGAGCTCTGACTCGGAGCGGTTGAAGTATCTGCATTAGCAATTGTAAATCAATTAGTTAATATAATGTCAAATACATGCTACAGATACTTATGCACAAGTGGATCAATGCCGATTCATACCCTCCCTGTCTCGATCGCAGCCCCGCGATGACGGGCCTCGTAGCACGCCTCCAAGGCTGGGTAAGTCAGCGGTTGTCTCTCCTCGGCCATCCTACATGAAAAAGTAATAAATTCACCGTTAGTTACCAATGTGACATATATTAACAGAAAATGAATGCGAGAACATGAGTAGGAAAACAAAATATTTACCTCCCTAACACTTATATTTTTTTTGGACTTCTTCTTTTTTGGACGCTTAGGACACTTAGTTTTCTTGTGACCCTCCTGGTGACACAATGAGCATCTATTTTGCACCGGCGCAGCATCAAGTTGAACGCATGAAGGTGGTTTCCTTCCAGAACCACCCAGACCCGAGTCCATTTCATTCTTGAATCGTTTCGATCTCCTCTTCCTTCTTGTTTTAATCTTCAAATTTGGGTCAGCAACAAATTCTTCACCATCGTACGGTGGCCACTGTGTGGGGTCGAGGTATGGCTCAAAGCGACTTGCCCATGTGTTCACAACGGCTCTTGAAGAGAACTGATACGGCATTCGGTTGGGAGATTCCTCATCAATTGCATGAATCAGATAAACGTGTATAAGATGTGAGCAAGGCATATGGTAGAGCAATGGCCTTTGGCAAGAACATGAGTTCCCCTCACCTTCAACTTTGAAGGCTCTTGCGCCGAATCTAACACCACCACGCGTTATACCACCCCTCTCTGTGACCTCGTATGTCTTTTTCTGCTTATCGAAACACCTTGCAGTGTGTTTGTTCGCCTTACTTTTTTGCACCTTCATCTTACTATCAACCTTGGTGGACCAACGCTGCCCTAACTGGACTCGCTTCAAAGCTTCATCATGTCTGTTCACAAAGTAGTCATTGCACTTCATGAACGTAAATGATACTATGGCCGTCACTAGAAGCTTACGAACACCAACTAGCACGCTATTGAACTATTCGGCCATGTTGGTTGTCATGTAACCCCACCGGCGGCCATTTCTATCGTATGCACGAGACCACTTATCTTTATCCAACAACTCATCTTCAAGCCATTTACGAGGACCTTCGGGAATACGCTGTCTTAGTGCCTCAACATCCCTCTCAAATATCCACTTCTCGTCAATCTGACATATCCTTAGGAGCTCTTTTGTCTGGTGCTTGTCCGCACCGGCCTTGTGGAAATTAGCACTGAAGTGCCTCATGCACCATCGGTGGTGAACCGGTGGCAATCCTAGAACAGGAGTCGTCATGGCATTCATTATACCAGCATGTCGATCTGAGATAATACAAACCTCCCTATGCGGCCCAACCACAACCCGTCGGACAAGATCGATAAACCAGCACCAGTCTCGTGAATTCTCTTTCTCCACCAAGGCAAAAGCTAAAGGTACAAGTTGGTCCTCCGCATCAGCTGATAATGCAGTCATCAAGGCACCACCGTATTTCCCAGTTAGGAAGGTTGCATCTATAGCTAGTACTGGCCTACAATGCTTAAAAGCCTCAATGGAAGGACCAAAGCACCAGAATGCACGCATAAAAATTTTCTTGGTCACTCCATCAACGTTGACAACCCTATCAGGATGAGTATTGATGTGGTAGACCATACTAGGATTCCTCTGCTTAATGGCTTGCAGCAAAGTGGGCAAACGGACATACGCTTCACCCCATTCACCGTAAATGAGCTTCATAGCCTCCTCTCGTGCCCTCCAAGCCTTTCCATACTTCACCCTATACTGGAAAACCTCAAATATATACAAAGCTAACTCAGAAGCAGAGAGTGTAGGTTGCAGTTTTATGGCATTGCATAACCTATTTGCTATGAACTTTGATGTCAGCTGCCGGTGGCTCCCTGAACCTTCGGCAGTAGCACAACTATGTTCCTTACCTACCCGTGATATCCTCCACGTGCCACTAGACCTCTTAGTTGCATGGACCTTCCATTTGCACCGTGGGTTTTCACATTTAACAGTGTACCTCCTATTTGCGGCAGAATTGACAACACGGTATGGATGATGGTGCACGATGGCGTAATCCTGGAGCCATAGCTTCAATGCGACCATGGATGGGAACTCTAAACCCTTTCTGAGACCATCCACCTGGAATGGTTCTGGCAACTGATCTAGGTTGATGCCGCCATCTAGTAGTGCACCATGGGCATGTGTTAGGTCCCTAAACTCAGGAATGTCCGGCTTCCTCCCAAACACCTTCTCAAACGCACGACATTCCTCTAATGCTAACTTGTCATTATTAGTAAGTGGAGAGAATGGACGGTCATCATCAGAGTCTTCAGCAAATTCAACATCATATTGCTCAACACTTGCCTCCTCGTCAACATCATCTCTATTGACTTCTACTGAGACAGAATCGTGACCACCACTCAATTCGACATCAAAGTAATCATCTGGATTCACATATTGGCCTGCTACTTCTGTCGGGTATTCAGGGTTGACTCCGTACGATGACCAATGAACACTCGCCGACAAATGTTCACTTAGATCAAGCCCCTCTTGTACTAACTCCCTTTTCATCTCCCTCGCTGCATCCACATCATCACTACCGCAATGTCTCTTTGATGGTCCTGCCTCCCATAAATCATTTCCAAGCAAAGGTCCCTTCTTCTCTCCTTCCCCCTCCAAGTCTTCTCGTACCAACTCAGTCTTACTTGCACCCCCTCCACGACGAGAATAATATGTCACAAAATTCTTCTCAACGTAATGATAAGAAGGAGATTTGTTTAGATCCAAATTTTCTACGGTACGAACTAACTTTGATGCAAACACCTCTAGAGATCTAAACTGAGACTCTTTTACCAAATCAAAGTAAACTTCTCATTCCAACTGACCTATCACATTTAATATATACTTATGCCCTTGACCAATATCGTATCTCCCATAAAAACGAATCTCCACATTATCCTCGGTCCATCCAAGAACTTCTTTCACTCGTGACCTTAGTTCATCTAGAGTTGGGTGGGTGGGAAACAAAATGGCCTTCAATGACATATCCTCAAACTCAACATGTGCACCAACATAAGGTTCCACCACTCTACCACCGTAGTAAACACGAACAAGTCTATCCATCTACACCAAAAAATCAAATGTAACTTTGCAACAAAAATTAAATCTTCATTCCTAAACGTAGTCCAAACCGACATATTATAACCAATGCATAACTTAAATTGTCCCAAAGCTACTACTCCAAAAAAATATTTAATCCACCTACAACTATCAACAAGTTTACTAGTGCATTACACATCGAAATATTACAAATACTCCGTCATACAACCCAACCTAGTTCTAGTTAACTATAATCAATTTATATAATGCAACCAAAATTTTCTCACCTTCATATAATTAATGGTTAAAAGTTTAACCTATAGACTATAGCATCAAGTCCATCAAATTAAAATTACTTTCATGCCTCAACCATAATTTTTCATCCATCCATCAACCCAAACCATCCAAAAATTAACATTACCACATATATGGTTAAAAAAATCGTGACACCAATGAGTACATTGCAAACATGTAGCACTACAACAAGCCAATCCTAAGAACAAATGCTAAAAATCACAAATTTGGGTAAAAAAAGGGGTTCTAGGGTTACCCACCGATCTACAAATTCAACCACTAAAAACAAAAAAAAAAGAGGGGTGAATGAAAGAGTCTATCTTTCTCTTCGATTTCCACAAAAAATCCCGCGAAAAACGAGTTCAAATGGAGTGGATTTGAGGTGGGGAGGTGAGGGGGGGAGAGAGGGGGAGAGCTGCTGCTGCTCAGCTCGGGCTGGTGCTTGGGCGAAAATGGGAGTGGGGGAGGAGATAGGTGGTGGGGCCCACGGGGTTTAAGGGGTCGGCCCACAGAGGAGGGGCGCGCCAGCCATGCTGGCGCCGTGGTAGAGGGGCGGCGCCAGTGTGGCTGGCGCCCCCATTCTGCCCAGTCAGCACCTCCACGACAGCCCTAGTGCCACGGTGGCACGGGCACGGCGCCAGTGTGGCTGGCGCCGCCATGTTGGGGTACAGCGCCAGCCACTCTGGCGGCCCAAAAAGGACCATTTTCGGTTTAAGTTTTTCCAGAGGTCTGTTTATAAAATAAGTTTTCAAAAAGGACCAAAATGTAAAAATTTCAGCCTGCAGGTCGGCAGGGTGGGGGACGGGTCGACCGAATCAATCAACGACGTGACACACATGCGCTTGGAGCAGCAGTTGATTCATACATATATATATTGTGGCCGGTGACCCAAAGCATCACCACCACACGTGATTACTGGCTAGCGAGAGAGCTAAGTAGCTTAATTAGCTAGATGTCGAGTTACCGCGTCGTCGTCAAACGCTGTACGCGAGCTGCGATTCCGCCAGCGAGCTAACGTCGAGCTACAACAGATCGTACGTCGGTGGTGTGTACGGTTAAATTAACCATGCTAGGAGTTGCTCGGCGAAATGTGTGCAGAAGAGCGGAATGTGCCTTAGCTATCCGGACCGACACGGTTGGTTAGCTGTAAAGTAAAGAAAATGACACCGAACAGGTGCCTGCTGGTGAAATGTTCCTTTTTCTTTTCAAGGCACAGTAATTGGACGGCATGTTGGACGATGAATGAACTATTGCATTGTTGATTCTTTTTATTTATAGTAGAATAAAAGATAGGAATATTTTGTTCCAACAGTCCATTTTGAACTCAAAACACTAGTTGGCTTTTGTTGTTTGCAGATGTGTCACCCATACAATCCAAAAAAAGAAGAATATCATCCTACCGAGCGTGACATGGTATTGGTGAGCCCATTGGTCTCCAAGCCTAATGTGAATGGAAAAAGTCTAACTTAACTCCCTTAGTAGTGGTCGAATTTGGTTAGTATTCCTTAACTAAAAAGGTCAGGTATACTGTAACCCTTTAAATATTAAAACCGTGCAAAACAACTCTCCTGACTGTTTTTCAAGGACAGTTTTCATTGACGTGTCATCCACGTGAAAGTTCAATCACCAAAAAAAAAATCAAAAATAGACGTGGGGCTCTCTTTCATTCCCCCAACCACGATGAGCTTGAGCTTAAGCTCAAACCCAGCACCAATGGCCTGGCCTCGCCCTGGTCTCCTCGCACCTCTTTGAGCTCTGGCACCGACGAGCTCCTTATCCTCCTGCCACCACCACTATGAGGGTGAGTACGAGCATGACGATGAAGGTGGCCTTAAAGGTATGGCGTCGGCACAACACTCCAGTTTGATTTAGAGCCCATTCAAATTGATGACATTTTTAACCATACCATTATTTGATAAAATTAATAATTATATGGCTACATTTAATTTGTTACCAAATATTAGCAATGTGTATAGAATTTTGGTAACATATTAAGCCAATCCTACTAAAATTTTGGCAATATTACCAATTTGCTAAAATTTTAGTAAAGTTCATTTTGACATAAATCTAAACAGACCCTTAACAGTTCGAATTATATTTGGGCTCAATGACCAAAGTGTGAGTATTTTCGATTGATTGATTTATATTTATTTTTAAAAATATTTAAAAATTCATTTCAAAGTTTTACAAAAATATACTCATGGGCATACAAATCGCCTTACGATGACGTGGCACCCCGTGGGAGGTGTGCCATGGTGATTTTGTAAGCGACCTCCTCTCAGTGGTAAATCGCCCTCGGGCTGCCAGCAAAATTACCACGATATGCCCCACTCGCGGGGTGACACGTCACATAGATTACCTTACCGAAGGACGATTTATATGTTCCACCTTACAGTAGGCCAGGAGGAGTATATTTTTGCAAAACTTTGAAACTGAACTTTATTTTTAAAATATTTTTTTTAAAAAAATAAATATAAAATTGAAAAAAAAAACAATTTTTTACTGGGTTTTATTGGGCCAGCCCATCAAGCGTATGACAAGTGTAATACAATCCAAGGCCCATACTCCCTCCGTCAAAAAACGTTCAAACCGATTACGGAATACGTACGTCAAAAACGCCCTTTAAATCTCAACCTTTGAACCGTCTTTCCCTCATCATTCCTTTCCACGTGAGCTGAAGTCGCAGATTTGTACTTCTTTACTTTACCGGCACAAGAATACAAGATGGTGAAATTTCGTTGAATAGACAAGTAGAAAAAAACACAATGTATATGTCTCAAAACAAAGAACTATAAAAAGAAAAAAAAGCAAGGTTATAGAATATTTTTTGAACCTTTTTATATTTATTTTTAAAAAACATACCCACCAAAAACTTATACTTTAAAAAATATATATTTTTTAGATAATGGAATAGAATATCCCTGCCTTTGCTCAAAAAGAGCTAAAACCCATTATTACAAAGTTGCACTAAAAAAAAGTGTAGTTCAATAAAACATTGAGAACACGCACTTAAAATAAGAAATTATATATATATAGAAAAACTATTCTACACCCGGGGTAACTATTCTATACCCCTCTCCCTCTAGCCCACCTCCCCTCCCTCCAGGGGGCAAAACCTACCCCACACCTCAGTCAAAGCTCCCCCACCTTGGTCAAACCCGCCCTTCACTTTCCCCACCACCTCCACTCTTCTCAGCTCTCGTCTCAGAACGACGTAGTAACGCGATGTTCATCGTACAGTAACACCATGTCTTACGTGCAGTAACAATATTGAAATGTAGTCATAATATAGTTATGACGGATCTACTTTTGATAAGCACATTTTTTCTAACATCATGGTGCAAACGGTTTTTAAAAGTAGTACATGATGTGAGAGATATGACCCTTCAAAGATTGGTTTTTTAAAAATTTGGCTCTCCACGAGCAGTAATTCTATATCATAAGTATTACTGCTGATCCTCTATGCGTTACTGTAATCACATAATATCGTTACTACATGATGTAATAATGATTATAAGTTTCTTAGTAGCATAGTGTGTTACTGCGATTACTTTATAACGTTACTGCAAGAATATGTATAGTAAGAAAAAAAAGGTGCAGTAACATGGAGAGAGAGACGAATTAGCTCGGTTTACTCATGGGGCAAGGGTAGAGAGAACCTTCAAAGACTGGTCTTTTGAAATTTAACTCTCCACAAGTAGTAATACTATATCATAAGTGTTATTACTATCTATTGTACGTTACTACAATCCCATCATAACGTTATTATGAAAGTGTGGTAAATATTATAAGTTTTGTAGTAACAAAGCGTCTTACTGCAATTCTTGAATAGTATTACTGCATAAACTTGTGGTCACGTGTATCTGCCATGCAGTAACACTCACACTTTTGTGTAGTAACAAAAATATGGTTCGCATGTAGACTTTTAACTCATATATTTTTGTTTTGATTCCTAGTTTACTACAATTTCACCACGATGTTACTATCAAAAGTGCAGTAACATCCTATATGTTTTGCAGTAACGTGACGTGTTACTATACTTATACGATAATGTTACTACTAAAACATAGTAACTTGTTATGGGTTTTGTAATAACATATATATTTCTCTTCTACTTAGCTTCCTACAACTATGGAACTTTATGTGTCCTGTAGAGTTGTAACAGTTTATATGTTTTTACAGTAATCGAGTGTGTTACTACCATTTCTTCTCGAAGATTTGTCTTTTGAAATTCATCTCTCCATAAGTAGTAATACTAAATACTTATTGTTACTACTTTTTATTGTGTGTTACTACCATTCCATTATGACGTTACTCTATGTGTGCAGTAACAACTATAATTTTTACAGTAACAGTGCATGTTACTGCAATTTCTTAATAGCGTTACTGCAATAACATATGGTAACAACCAAACACAAGTACCTACCACCCACTTTGAACTAGTAAAATGTAAGTGCAAGTGATATCTTTTGAATTCACATCTTTAAACAATAATATCTCTCACACCACATATTATATTTTTGAACCGTTTGCACCGTAATGCTTTAAAAAAAGAGCTCTATAAAACTAGATCCGTCATGACTATATTTTAACTATATTTTATTAGTGTTACTGTAAGTAAGCTACAGCGTTACTGCACGGTGGTCGTCATGTTACTCCACCGTTCGTACGAGACAAGAACAACAAATAGGTGGACGTGGGAGGAAGTTAGCACACGGGTTTGACCGACGTGGCAGCGATTTGACCGTCCTTTGACCATGCTTTGACTGGGGGTGGGAGGTGGGTTTTAAGCCCAATAAAAAAAAGGGAGAGGTGGGTTGGGCTCTTGAGGGGGAGGGGGGTATAGAATAGGTGTAGAATAGTCTTGGCTGTTTTGTACTCCCGGGAGTACATACACCCTCCCCTGATAGTGGATCATCCAATAGGATCCAATTTACCGGATTGAACAACAAAATGATTAATAAATAAATGATGTAATTAACAATCGGGGATGCATGCATGCAACTAATAATTTAAAAATTAGTCCGCCTGTTGCATGCTACGTATTCAGTGCACCTTTTTTTTTTCTTCATAATATTCGGTATATATGTACCAGAGCCAACGTTGAAAACGCCTTTTTTTAGTATCCGGTATATACTATGTGTTTATGTGTATGATTCAGTATGTACACCGTATTAGATTTTTGGTTGTTGGACTATATGCATTTTTTTAATATCCAGTTTGTACATACTTGATTTTTTTTTAGGTATGGCACATACTTTTTTATGTTAGTAACAGCATATACCTTTTTAAATTAGGAGAGCAGTATATACCTTTTTTTAATCCGGTATATACTGGACTAGATCATGTACTGGTTGGTTGTAGATACTACGTACCGCTTTAATTTCTTTGTAGGATTCAGTATATACTAGACCAAATACTGTTTTTTTAGGTACGATAGCTCCCTTTTTTCAGGGAGAGTAGTAGTCTTTAAGTAGCAGCGCATACTATTTTATTTTAGTACATACTGTTTTTAAACTTAGTAGAAGTATATACTTGTTTTAACTTAGTATCAATATATAACTTCTTTTAATTAGCTAGTACCAGTATATGCTACATACTTGTCAATTACTAGTATATACTTTTTATGAGTATATAATGTTCTTAAACTTAGTAGCCGTATATATTTTTTTTATAGTAAGTTAGCAGGAGTGCATACTGTTTTTAAACTTAGTAGCAGTATATACCTTTTTTAACTTAGTAACAGTATATACCTTTTTTTTAAGTTAGTACCAGTATATAGTTTCTCATACTAGTATATACATTTTGATGAGTATATTTTTTGAACAAACATAAAGATGTTTGATAGGAAAAATAAGTCAAAACGACTTGTAATATAAAACGAAGGGAGTAGTATAGGTATTTTTTTTCCACATAATAGTACGTACCATTTTTGTCTTATAGAATAGAACAATACGTAAATTTGGTATGTGTAGGGTTGCTAATTATGAATATACTGTATTAGTCAATGATTGATAAAGAAGCGTCGTCAATCACTAGCAAAGTATCGGGTTGCTGCATTCTGAATAAAGCTAAATGAATGAAATACGCTAGAAGTGCACTGAATTCCGAATAGACATTCTACATGCAGGCTAACAAATCGGTTAGCATCGACGGGATCACGCCAAACACGCGCCCGAGAGCGAAACGAGTATTCATGTGTCAGCTTACTGGATCAACGGAATCACGGACTCAGCACCGTCGCCAGACGACCGTACATGCTGGAGTGTCCTGTTGTCAGCACCATCTATGCCCACGATAGATGTGTCTCGCATGTGCATGCACCAAACAAATGCATTCATCAGAGGCTTAATCATTCTATCAACGTCATACTTCATGTCTGCATCCTCGTCTGCAAACAATAACAGAGATATACCCAATAGAAAAAGGAAAAGGAAGAGTATGTATTATCGTTCTATAGGAAAAAATTAATCAAACAAAACTGGAAGAAGGAAGAAAGGGCTTGCCTTGATCGTTGCACGGGCTTGATCGATGCCAGCCGCATGACCACAGTGGCTTGCCGAAATATTGATGGCGTCCTTGTTAAGGTCACCGGTGCTAGCTTCGATCGGTCAGCCAAGGTGAAGCCACCGCCGCCTCCGCGTAGATAGGAAGAGCCGATGGATTGATGCCGTGATACCGTCGCCACAAGGGCCGGCACCGCCTAGGAACGCCGTGTTGCTGCAGATGAATGCCGCCGCATCCCAGCAAATCACCGATGGATGTTGCCGCCGGCGTGGTTGCTCGATCCCCAATGGATCGTGCCATACCTCCGCTTCGAGTCGCCGGTAGCTAGCGCTCGATCCGAATACAACGGAGAGATTGCCGTCGCGGATGGGATGGGAACCAAGGGATTTATACGATCTGTTCAGAACCGACCAATTAGTGCGGGATAATTAAACATTATAGGAGAATATTCTTTAAAGAAATGGAAACGGGTCCGGTGAGTGCATCCGGTAACAGGGTTGATCGTGGGTGGCTACTGATCAACGGTGGATGGGAGCAGGTGTGTGTGTGTGTATATATATATATATAATTTGTTTGGCGTGACACGACAACACGCAGTGGTTGTGCCATTGTTGTCTTGCCACACCAAATCCATCTAGTTGGTATGTCAAAGGTTCAGATTTAGAAAAATGTTCTAGGGGGAATTTATTTAAAAATTAAAAAGGTTAAAAAAATACCATTCTAGCTAGCGTGGCAAAACCCTTACTACACCAGTCTAGCATTATTCTACCACATCAGCTAGAATAGCATGACCAAAATGTTTAAATTTGAAAACAAGTTTTCATAGTCTTTAAAAATAAGATTTAAAAGGTTCAATAAAGGAAAAAAAATAAATCTAAACAGAGATAGATGCTTTGCCTCTGCAAGCGCCCAAATTATGACCTCTTCTTTAATTTTCGCCAACAAAGCTATTGCAAAAAAATCTTATGATAGAACGCTTTCTGATTTCTCTCCCTCCGTATCTCTTAGACCTAGGATGTCAGGAGGATGAGAGAGCTCAACCCCTGTGTAAGTCCTTGCAGGTGAGGAGTGTTTCCTACCAATCATGGACCATCGTGCTGGTCTTCTAGAGTGTACTACTAAGACTGTGTTTAGTTCCTTCCAAAATTGGAAGTCTGGGTTGAAATTGATACGATGTGACTGAAAAATTGTGTGTGTATGACATATTGATGTGATGGAAAAAGTTGGAAGTTTGGATCTAAACACAGCCTAAGTTTGAGTTGTTAGCATGAGATCCAGGTAACAGGCATGTCCCAGATTTTTCTCGTGTACTTGAACTCAACAAGAAGGTGGAAGAACGTTTAAGTGTGTGGCTGTACAGTGGGTAACAAGTGTTGTTTGGCCATCCACAAATTGCTATCATGTCTGACGTTTACACTCTGTTTTGCACGATTAATTAGGCCAAAAAAAATGTATTTCTTTGGTGCCCAGGACTTCCAGATGATCATATCATAGTTATCGTTGATACACAATGGTAATTCTGACCAACTTTATGTCTTGGCACGGGTCCTACGAGTGTACCAGAAAAGGTTACCAACACTGCACAATTGCGAGACATAGCCGCATGCCACGAAATCCTGTCACTCGGCCAGAGTAATCGTGGTAAATTGTGAGTGAGAGCAGGCCATGCTGAGTGTCCGACACTGGAACTCTTCTTTGAGAAAGGAAAAAAAAAGGCGAATAATGCATGATGCCGATGGAATAATACAGACGTTTTCTCTGACCTGAGTGTGGATGATACGCTTCAAATCTGGAGGATAAAGGGGGAAGTTTCACCGACAAAGACAAAAGGATTCCCATGGCCCAATGGCCGACTGGAAGGAAGGGTGAAGACATAATACAGTATCACAATTACACATTTTTTTTGACGCAAAACAATTACAGAATTACATGAATGATATGTGCTAATCACAATTACATCTTTTTCTTTTGTCTTCTTCCTTTTGCAGTATGCGGCAGAGCTGTGCAATTAGCCTCCGCGAGAATTCAGAGATAAAGTTCTGTTTATGATAGAGACGTGAAGTATTTGAGATCCACTGCCTTTTGCAAGAATTCAGAGATACCCCTATACGGTAGTACTATTGCTCGTACTGTATAGAAATTGACGATCAAGTCGACATCATTTGTGAGAACCAGGAGAAAAAAAAAGAATTGGGATCCCAAAAATATTTGTATGCGTATCGATCGAAATTGAGTGGCCAAATCTTGGATCTGACAAAGGACATGACGCACATTATCTTCCATGCTTATTGTGGATCACTATCTCTGGCATGCTGTCTGCTGCCCCCTTGCAAATAGAAGTGAGCAGCAGCCACAAAAGCCGAAGATTTTTCTTCGGGAGCATGAAGAGCCTTGGCCCTTGGTGAGCTGAAACTGAATTTGGGCCAATCGTGAAAACTGACAATAATCAACTTGGATCCCACTTCGAACCACCACCATTCGATGTCCACGAGCACAACGAAATGTTCATTGACAGAGACGGAGCATTTTCAATTCGTCGAAAACGATCTCTCACACGCGGGCCATTAGAAAACAAAGCATTTATACATGAGTGTTTTAAATATTGATTCATTTTCTGTGGCAATTAGCACCTCCTGCGTGCCAACTGCCACTGCCAAAGAAGGGCATCTCCATTTTTGTACTATCAGGATCATGTCACGGTCATGACAGCTGAGACGTCAGCGGCACACTGGCCTGTGCAGTGTACATACTCCGGGAGAATGGCATCAGTAAGCAATTTTTCTCGCTCTTTACTGTATTATATATCTTGTCGAAAGAATCACATGTTTGTTACATCAGAGGTGATCTCCGTCTTCAATCATTCGAAAGAATTACACATGTATGCTCCTTTACAATGATAATGCTTTGAAATTCTAGGCTCAACGCCCAGGAGGCTGGTCAGATGTTAAGCCCAGGCTCCTGAGAAATCGAAAAATAAGCTAGAGACTAATGTTCTGTCAATCCGAGCTTTGTGCAGAAGAACTAGTTTTCAAGTCAGTTTGGTAGTACACTACGTCTCCGGTGTCACTAACATAGTGGTCGCTGTTTAAGCTCTTTGCTAGCACACCAAGTAAGTGGAATGGGAGGGGAGCTGATTTCTCTGGCTCTTTGTAGTATTTTCCCAGCACTGGTTTTGCTGCCTCAGTCTGCAAGTTAGGTCCAAACCAACATAACTTAGTAGGCGATTCTTGCAAAATAATTCATTAAAACAGCAAGAGTGGCGGATGGCTTCTTACCGCCTCAACAAGATGGTAATGTGGGATTTGTGGGAAAAGATGATGAATGACATGGGTTCCAATGTCATGGTGTACGTTGTTGATCCACCCGTAGTCCCGATCAAGTGTTGTCAATCCTCCGCGCAGATAGCTCCACTCCTAATAGAGCAAAAGAAAATGTGAGCTCATTAAAAATATATAAACTCCAAAATAGTGAAAAGTATTTGATAATCTGCACTTCATTCTACGTAGGAAAATGGTTAAAAAAAGGAACTACTGTTTTGATATGTCCATTAGCATTTCACTCTGGAAGGAGACAAAAGGGGCTCTTTCAAGTACTTGACCACAAGGAATCTGAGGTTTGTAGCGTTCGCTCCTTGCTTATGGTTGGAAGTAAAGGATACATTTGGCATTTAGCCATAAGGCGATACATAACTACCAAGCATGTAGACAACAGCAGTACCATATTGGCTACAAACGCTGCATGATGCACTACCACTATTTTTTTGAAATTTTTTTCAAGGTAAGTCAAAAATATAATAATTGCATGCTTTATATCAGACAGGATACGCCCACGCATATACTCCATTTTATAGGATACCATTAAGCTATGCGTATGGACCTTTTGGTTTATATAATAATCATCACTTTGCCGACCTAATATACAATGGAGAGAGGGCTAAAAGGAGAGACCACAATTCCTCTAAAAGCCTAGAAACTACCGCATTAACCGGAGAAAGAGAGAGAGATATACAACTTTGAATCTAAGATAATAGTGGGAACATATTATAATGGTGTAGACCAAATCATTTAGTTGTATTTCCAGAACTAGATGGAAGAGTGGTATATCAATTCGGCTTGTTACCTTTAAAGTCTTAGCTTAGTTTCTACATGCAGTACCAATGTCGAATAATGAAACTTTCCATCATTTAACAAACAAAAATGGACTATCTCCTAGTTTTTCAACATTAAGTGGCCATCCTTGAATCATTTACAAATAGCAAACCCATACAATTAATAATATTATTTACCTTTCCACGGTACCAAGGAAGCTTGTCCTCATGGCCATGATGGTGCAAATATGTGACAAAATCAAGCCACATAACAAATATCTGCATAAGGGTTTACAAAATGTGAACACATACATCACCAGACACTCCCATCAATCCAAATTATCATTTTGCAGAAACTAATAAAAATATCATGCTCTTACCACGTATGGAACAGCATAGAGCTTTAACATTTTGAGGGGCCCCATCACAAAGGTCAGACCAGCAAGAATCCCAACCATTGCCAGCCAGGATGCAGTTGATGTTATCACATCCTTCTTCTCATTTGGTTGGAACAGATCACTGCTTGGGTTGAAGTGTGAACCTTTTTTCCCTGGACTCCTTGCAAACTGCATAGACATGAACCCCAAACCAGGAATTTAGTATGATATTACAAAATAAGAACCTCTAATACAGTTGATAATGAATGTCAAGAAGCTCTTGGCCTAACCAAGTATAATGGGAATGCCAGCATGGGAAACGGCATGGTGAACCTCAATTTCTTCGTCATATAGTCCAGGCTATTGTACAGCCTCTCAGACAGCTGCAGGTTGTCACGATTAGAGAACCATCGAGCAAAATTGCAGAATTCCTCATGAACCAACCAAAAACAAAGACCTACCGGTTGCCAGGACTCGTCTTTCTCGACATGACCGTGGTTCTGGTGGTGCGTCCTGTGGCTAATCCTCCTGAAATTGGATCGAAATAATGTGAGATGCTGCCTTCCTTAGCTTCAACAACAATTCCTGTCCAAAACGAAAGAACCAGGAATACATGAAGCGCGCTCATCTTACCAGCCGTGGTATGGGACAAGGATGGAGGAGTGGAGTATGTGTCCAACCACGCTGTTCAACTTGGCGTTGCTTGAGAAGCTCCCATGGCCACTGCAAAGACACCGAGTAGGGAAGGAAGGGTCAACGATCCGGGCTGCAAAAGCTAAAACCCACAGAAAAGAAAAAAAAATCCAATCTCTAGGATGGAGGCAGGGGCGTACCAGTCGTGACCCAGCACGAAGAGCGCCCAGAACATGGTGCCCTGCGCGGCCCAGTAGAGCGGCCAGACGAGCCAGCTGTCGACGCGCGCGGCGGCGGCGGCGAGGCCGAGCACCACGACGACGTCGCGCAGCACGTAGCTCATGGACCTCCAGGGGTCCTTCACCCAGCAGTGCTTGGGGATGGCCGCGCGGATCTCCGCGAGCCCGAACGGCGGCGGCGCCCCGGGGTCGAACCCGTCTCCGTCCCCTCCTACCTCCCCCGCCGCCGCCTCGGCCGCCGCCAACGAACCCCTGGCCTCCTCCTCCACCACCTCCTCCCCTCTATTATCCTCCTCGACGACGGAGGTGAGGCGGGTGGGGGCGGAGACGCGGAGCGCCCACTCGCGGTGGATGGCTCCCCCCGCGGCGGCGGCGGACACGGGGCGGCGCGGCCCCGCGGCGAGGCTGGGAGGCGCCGGCAGCGCAATGGCGCCGCGCCCGCGCAGGCGGAGCGGCGTGAGGCCGCAGCACTCGGAGAGGACGAGCCGTGCCATCGCCTCCGCCGCCACCGACGGTAGCAGCCGCTGCCCCTGACGGCTTACACGGATTTCCTTTCTGATTTTTCTGCTCTGCGTTCGCGGATGGGCCTTGCTGTGCGGGTAGTGGTGGTGATGGGATTAAGAGAAGTCCACGATTTTTATACTGCCATTGCCAGCCACGGACCGGACCGGGCCGCCGTGAAGCGCGTGGGGGGGTTCGCGCGCCGGTGAACCGAAGGGGACGACGCGGTGCGGTCGACTCGGACTCGGGTCAGACGAGAAGACGGTAGCTGTCACGTGTGAATTTGGCGTGCGACGCCGCCCCGCTTTTAACTCGTGGGTTGACTGACTGGTTTAATTAATTTAGCGCTGTGGCGATTATATTCCAGGAATTAGCGGTTCGATCGATCTAATGCATGTGTGTGAAAGCCGTAGGTTTGGTGTGGATTTGTGGAATTATCGGATGTTGCACGATGCGTCTTTCTCACTGCTAATTAAGATAGTTTAGTTTAGCACGTACGTACGGTATTGTATACGTGGCAATACAGTAGTACGTTTGGTATGCATGGGTGGTCAAAGGTGGATTGCAGCAGTGAGTCAACCAAGTCTATGGTATGTGGTGTCAACTTTGGCACAAAACTTTTTCAAAAAAAGGAAAAACAAACGCTCTCTCGCTCATGTATGCAGCATAAGTTCAGTGCTTGGACGGGTTAGACTAATGGAACACATTCCACGTTTCGTTTCAATCGAAAAGGAGTCAGCGTACATATATAATTAATGTCTGTGTCATGATCATTGAGATTGTAATAGGAACGCTTATGCATTTTTGCGTGTTGGTGTAGAATGTATGTACTAGATCATTATCCTAAGTGCACTAAAAAATTGATTGTTGCATATGTATACCGTGATAGACAACGCAATAAACCTGTCTGCTGCAACTAATTCATCCAAACCTTCTCTTGCACATGTGGATTAGTTACATCACAGTTCAGATTATAAATTGCGGCATAATTAGAAATTCTCTGGTCCCGAAATATAAACATGCCCAAAATATGAACATTCTTATAAAATGGCCTAAGAATGTTCAATTAAATGCCACCTGAGTAATGTCACATTAGAATGTTACATCACTGTTTCCAAGGATGCCACATGAGTAACAAGGCATTTAGTTGATGATTAAAATAGCTTATCATGTTGGCTTTGACCCAATAGCAATATAGATTGTGCTACAAATTTTGTATTTTTGTGGTCATAAATTATGAGAATCTATATAAGAGCTTCCACCGCCATCAAAGCCCTTACTATCAAAATACCAAAATATAAAAATATTCTATTTTTTATGCAAGCTTTTGGAAAAAAAATACAAAGCAAGAATAAATCGTTGCTTGATCTTTTATCTCGCACATAATGCAACACCCAATTGTCATCATACCGATCGATCTTTTATCTCGCACTATGTTTCATGGATTGGGATGAACTTTGAAGTAAGCATGAAGTCTAAACATTTTTAATTATACGTAGTGTTACGTTGAAAGTTAGTCTTACGTTTAGTTTACTGTTAAACTTTTGTTAATAAAGATGGTTCAAAGTATATCTCATTCTATAAACTATCATTGTTATTTTCCATTTAAAAAATAGGATTAGCTACCCTCTCCATTTCAAAATATAGTAAACCTAAGACTAAGATGGACAAATCATAATGATATGAATCTAAACAAGCCCTATATCCAAATTTATATTATTATAATGTGTCTAGTTTTCTAAATTACTATATTTTGGTACAGAAAGAGTAGGAGGTAAGTAAATGTATTTTTGGAGGGGGGGAAGAAATGCGTTCACACGGTAAAACTTCTTTATGCTGATGGTTAATTAAATGTTTTAGGTGTCATCTGTCTACGTCAATAAGATCTTTGATGACACACATTAGTACAGTGTGGTACAACTGTATATACATCCTTCGTCCAAAAAAGAGTATGAAAGCAATTAAACAGTCCTTGATCTGATCTCTACACCATCGACCCAAGAGAAAATTTGATTTATATACTATCATGGGAAGGGAGCTTGTACCACGAAATAGAACATTTCAAAATGTTATGCCTCCCTTTAACCTGATGCATTCATACTTGGAGAAGAAACCACGTAATCCCTTTTTGGTATCCTTTCCTCGAGACTCTTTCGTCGTATCATCGGAAAAAAGAAGGGAGAGATTTGCCTTGAAAAGGAATGAACAAGTCAGAGAACTCAAATGGCATACGACGACGATGTGAAGATAGTACACTAATCAAATGCGATCCAGTCCATGCTAGTACTTTATCTGTCTCCTATTAAATTTATTTTTGGGTCCTTACATTTATTTCAAAATAAATTCATTTCTACTATAATTATTATATCGAAGTTGGTAAAAGTAAAAAAACATTTGTGTTTAAAGCAGATAAAATAAGAGATAGTTATATTATTGTTTGATAAAATAGTAATATTCTAATTTCTTTTATGTGTGTGGAATTGATAAAAATAAATTTATTTGGACTTGCTACTACTCACTCCACTTGAAGGTTCGCTTTTATACTGGTCGATCGCGCCACGCTTAGAAGCACACTAGGGGTTGTTTTGGTTTAAAGTCCTACCAAAATTTTGTTAATGCTAAATCTTGGACAAGTTTTGGCACTACCAAAATTTTGGTAGGATTATGTTGTTTAACTCTATTGAATTGGTAAGATTTGGCCTCAATCCAAATAGCTAACGAGTACTGTTCAAAACTACCAAATAATTGGTAGGGCAAGAATTGGTTTCAATCCAAACATACCCTAGTACTCCCTCTGTTTTTTAATAGATGACGCTGTTGACTTTTTCTCACACGTTTGATCATTCATCTTATTCGAAAATTTTATACAAATGTATAAGATATAAATCACACTTAAAGTACTATAAGTGATAAAACAACTCATAACAAAATAAATTATAATTATGTAAATTTTTTAAATAAGACGAATGGTCAAACATATGAGAAAAAGTCAACGGCGTCATCTATTAAAAAACGGAGGTAGTATTACTACTACTCATTTCGCTTTCGAAAATGGAAAAGGCAGGGCCGCACCGGGAGGGGTGGGCCCGGTGCTCCAGGCGGTGGCCGCGTACGTGGAGCAGGAGGCGTCCACGTCGACGAGAGCTGCGCGCGCATATGGGTGGCTTCTGCCATGCGGATGGCGTGGCATCTTCTACCGCCGTTGATCTTCTAACCGACGGCGCTGCGGCGATCTGGATTCTGGACCACCGGGGGGGGGGGGGCTTGGCCGACCGAGTGGCCGCGGGGAAAAAGCGGTGAGCGCATGTGTGATGCTTTTTTTTCCTTTCGATTTCGACGTGGACGTGAACCGGATCGGATCGTGGAAAATCCATTTGCTAGTCACCCAATCACACCCGTCGTCATTAGGACCTGATTAAGACCTCGATTAGATTAATTAACCCATGTGGCAAACTGGCAAAATTGATAGTGCAGGTCGTAACATGTCCTCTCAAGCGGCCGGTCGCCTCGCCTGGCTATGTTGCCATTTGTGCGCCAAGCCATTGCGAACCTCACTTGCGTTGTCGCGCGGTTGGACGCTTTGTGGTCGGCAGCAACGGAGAGCGCGGGGGCGATATCCGCTGTTATGACGGCCCGGTCCTACCATGCATCACTAGAGGGGCCACAAGATAATCCGGCAGTGGACTCCGGCCAAGAGTTTAAGAACCCGTTTAGAATGGTGTTATTTTGAATTATATCTTTTTAAAGAAACTGATAAAGACGTGAGTGTATTTAGTTTGTTACTAAACTTTAAGTAATATTTGGCAATAACACATTTAATCTATTCTAATAAAATTTAGCAATGTTGTTAAAATTTTAGTATTATCAAATTTTGAAAAAGTTTATTTGGAAGTACTCTGAACAGCTCCTAATATAGGACTCATGTAATAACCAGCCCAAACTAATTAGAAAGGCTGGACCGCAGGGTAGAGGACTAAACGAGGACCAAAGACCTCAGCTCCGTCCAAGCCAACAACGTGCATCACGTAAAACTATATGTTTTTTTAGTGGACGGAGAAGGGGTTGTTGCTTGTTGGTCCGTGGTCCATGGCCGGTGCGGTGCGGTGCGGTGCGCCTTGCCTTGGCGTCGTCGTTGGTTAATCACGCTTATGTCCTCCTGCCCGCGTGGATTTTAGCAAGAAATCGCTCCGAATCGCGGCAGGATCGCATCTGTGGCCGGCAGGAGGACACGAGGTCCTCGTGCTCCTGCGGCCACCATCCATCCAATCCCGATAATGAAATCCCTCCTCATTGGTCAAATCCATGGTTTCATGCGTGCTCCCCCCTCAGCTACTAGTACAGTTTATTTATACATTGTCTACCAAATCCACACGACATTCCTACAAGTTAAAAAATATACAGTAGCATTTCTTTCTGCATGACAATTTAACAGGAAGATATGACCTTTCTGTCTAACAACAGCAATGGTGTGGTATTACTGTACCCGACAACGAACCGTTCATAGGCCCCGTCCCGTCCTGATTCTGTTGTCCATTCCGCATGCCATTCTTCAGATCTCGCCTCGAATAAAATCAGGACTTCAGGAGCATCTTATGCAACGCCAACGCCAACGTAGACCATAACATACGTACACCTTTCATGCCCCTATCACTCTATCAGGACCCTGTGCAGGTAGTGTGACCGGGCCGGATATAAGTGAACACGGAGAGACTAGAGAGAGCTGCGAGTAAACGGGGGCGCCTTACCCACACTTATCAATGGGCGTCCAATCAGAGGGCGCGAGCAGCAACCGGTAGCTGCTGCGATATCGTGTCCTCTCCCGGCGCCTCTCATCACGCCGTCTCCTCGTACATCCTGCTGATTACGACAAGCGAGAGAGGGGGAGAGGCTGGATGGTCAGTTGGTCACCAGCCATCCAAATCGTCCATAAACAGTACTATGTGCTATCTCTCAGTACTCTTGATGGAGATTGGAGGCAGATAACATCGCTGCACAAGTGAAAGCACGTTGCTCTGCTTTGCTTTCATTAACTATGCGTTAGCTGGTAGTACAAAGTAGTTCAAAGGAAATGATAAGCTCAAAGGTGGTACTACACATTACTGTCATCGGTTGGTTGGTAATCAAGGTGGTTTAGGCCATCAAGGTCTCAACGTAATACAAGTTATGGCCACAGAAACCATGTAGGCCAAAATGGTAAGGAGCATAGGGAAGGCGATCGTATGAAAAGATGGCAGAAAGCCCAACCAGGGATCATGGCTTCCACCATTTCTTGTTCTCCATGGATTTTGCGATCTGATGAGCAAGGGAGGCAAAATTCTCTGACTCGTTCTGAAGTTCGGCGGATTCTTGGCTTATTCTCTGCCAAGTAAAGAACCAGAATCAGTTCTTTGTGTTCAACTGTTCATAGACGAAAGGAGAAAACAACTTGATGCAAAAAAAAAGGATGGGGAAGTCGTTTACAGCAAGTTTCTCGCCCCGTTCCTTGAGCTTATCTTTTGCATGAGCTGCAGCTGCAGCAGCATCCTGAAATGAGCATTCAGGGTTAGTCAGGTTAACAAATCAGAGGTGATCAATTCGCTATTTCGCTGCATTGGTGAAACTAGAAAAGGAAAAGTACCCCGCCAAATTTGTATTTGGTGAGGATCTCTTGGGTGCTTTTCATTCTTGGTTTCTCAACATCGCTTGATCCGTCAAATAGTTTCTCCCTTTCCGTCTCTAGCAAACAGTTAACATTGCAATCAGAAGAAGAGTACCTTTTTTTAAGAAAATTTGAGAAGAAGAGTACATTTATATATTTCGAATTGCCAGAAATCGCAGCGCTACCTGTTTTGGTTTTCTTACTAAACAAAGACCTTGGGGTTGATGCTGGTGCTGGTCTTGCTTCATCGTCAATCTTTATGTCGTCTGCAATGTACTCTTAGTTACATTTCTTGTTAAATATGAACGAGATAGAGAGATAGAGAGGGCGCGCACCAATTGCCAATTCTCCTGTTGGATTATGGGTGTTACCCATTGACAATTCCACAAAATGGATTTTGAAGAAAAACACCTAGAACTGTTCACCTTAGGTTTATCCAGCGCAACTTCCTTTCAGCTTCTTGATTTCTCTTATGATGCCACAAGAGTCTAAGAGAGCCAGCTGCTGTATCATGCATTAGAAAATTCAAGTCAAGGCAACATACAGAATATTTCAACAGATGCTGCATGAACATAATAATGTCAAGCATGGAAATGATTGTGGAATCCTGAGATATAGACCGTGCAATAGAAACGCAGCAAGTACCTGAAGCCGTTCTCAGAAAAAAAAAATGCAAATTAAGACCCAGAGCAACGTGAGAATAAACACAGGAATTTCACATCAACCAGAGAGATGAAAGGAATTAGGAAGAGTCTTGCAGATTACGACCACATTTGGTCACCTTGAATTGTGTGTTGCCACGGAAAGCTTGGTGTTTATTTTTGGACACCACACTTCAGGGTTCTCCGTTATTTTTCCATTTTTAACAACCGAACAAGGCTGGAAAACCTGCTGTATAGAGCTGTAGCCCATTTCTGTTGCAGAAAGGTACCGAGAACAGCCAAAAATGGCTATTGGGCAACGGCATAAACATTAAAAACGACGAAGAAAGCTTCCTTCAAGTTTATCACAAGCTATGAAAATACATGAACCTGGACTAGTCGAAGGTGGCAAACTGATACTCGTGCGATGGCACTGCGAGAGATCGGATGGATGGTAACAAAAACAAAAGACAGACGACCTTCGACTAGTCCAGGTTCGCACCATGAAAAAGCCAAAATATTCACTAGTCTGAACTCTGGGTCGTGTAAGCTACTCATTTAGAACATACATTTGCAGTTTTGCATACTATCATCCAAGCAGTCAATTACTAATAGGAAGAAATCTGGCGTTACAGATTAACTTCAGTTTACAGGATCAGAAGGCCAACTGCCGTTCATTACCTATTGAGAATGATTACCAACCATGTATCCATGGCTCATCACAAGATCTACTGAGAATGTGTACTGAAAAAAAAAAGGAACTTGGGGCTGCTTAATTTGAGGTGTTAGTCTACAGGGCAAGTTGGCTCTTATAGATGTACTACTTGCTGAGGTTCTTTTTTCCGTTGAGTTCTGAGAAGGATTACAAATTTAGGGGTGGGGGTGGTTCATGTTAGTGTCATTGGTATAAACAAAGAATTATATGAGACCACACAAACGAGGCTTAGAGCAAAACTGCTTCCCATTTGCTTTCACCAAGGCTACCACTCCAGCCGTCAAACCCGCACAGATAATGGAGGTGATGAAGTGTTGTGCATTCCGTCCAACTGCTGGTTAGATGAGATCACAAATGTAAAAACAATCCATCACACTACGGGAACTTCTTAAGTGAAAACAAGTACGAGGAGGCACACCTTGACTAAGAGTGAATGTGGTGGCAGTAATCCCACCAACTATGATTGCTGAAGCCACAGGAAGATACTGCAATCAAACAATATTAGTAATCCCCAGTATCGAAATGAACATGCTAATTATTAAGGCAGAAAAAAAATGAAAATGCTGATTACCGTTGCAGATTCAAATCCACCATTTTGAAAAGGAGAAGAGATGCCTTTGCTGACTGTATAGTAACCGCTGATAAGGTCTAGAGCATCCTGAAGATGAGTAATGAAGTATTAAAATTTAAAAGAAGCCAGCAAGAGCACATTTTGTAGAATATAAACTGCAGCAAGCAGAAGATTTTAACATAGATGGTTTAGCATGACAACAACAGGAGTTACAACAGATAATTACTTCAAATGGTTTGTTTGAACGTTAAATTAAAGTTGTATATAATAAGGTACATCCATAAAACTGTTACTAGACCATGCAAAGATTAGTTAAGTGCTCAGACGAACTGTGTGCATTACAAATCAATACAAGAAACACCTGAAAGGATCATTCACTGATAAAATATGATTTGACAAGACCAAATATTAGGGAAGCAATTTACTATGTATATCAGAACTGGCAGTGGATATCACTTACTTGTCTCACTCCGTCATGAAAATTATTCAAATAATATCGTGAAAGAGCACTCATGCCATCTTTAATCAATCCAGGTAATGTCTGCCTTCCATACCTGTGTTATTAAGTTGTTGCCATGGATTTAACAATACAAACGCACCACAGTTGATAAACAAATTATTGTTGTAACAATAAATGCTAAAAAGTTACCTCACTAGGTCCCCCTTTAGTGCATAAGAACCAGCATATTCCAGGCTTAGCTCATCTCCATGTTCAACCCACACTGTGAAAGTATGACTACAATATATGTAAACCATCTTGGTTTCTATAGTAAACAAAAAGGAACCTTACTTTTTTTAAAGGTGTCACTAATGTCTCCAGATTGGGAAATGCTGCCAGATGATGATAGAGCCCCCATGCGCTGCAGCTGTAAGTCCAACGATTTTCTAGCAAGGAAGCTCTGGAAAGCAAAAGAAAAGTGTTAAAAACGGATTAGTGTTAATATAGTCAATAGATCACTAAACATACTACATAACACCATTTTCAGTATTTACATTTATCATCCTCAACATTAGTAATGAAATATTATATCACGGTGCATGCTCAGTTTAATCCCATGGGATCATTGAGAACAATGCTAAATAATTTCCCTGCTCACTATTTTGCTGAAGGAATGCTCATTAGAGTGAAGTGGCAAATTATGGCATGTGAAAATGTGAAATACACATTGCTAAGTACCAACTAACATGTATCTATCCAAATCAATTCAGGACATGCTTGAGCTATGCAATGGATCTGACTTAGCAACTCACACCTTGGCTCCATATCATAGAAATTCAACTTAACTAGAGCCATATGCATCAGTGCATTAGCAATCTGAAGGATTGACGAGATAGAAGAATAGAACTGTTAGCATGACATGCAAAGGTCTAAGGAGTAAGGGCTATCACAATATAGCTGGAAGTTATTACCTTTGTTTCAAAAATAATCATGATATTTGTTAACTTGATTCACAGAAATGACAAAACATACCTGAGTTACATTTGTACGGTCCAGACAATCTATGCAATTGGATCTAACTATGCCGCTTTGCTCCAGGAATATCTCTCCTTTGGAGTTGATAAGAAAATATCTGCTCAGCTGGCCCCGAAATTAATCAAGAGCAAATTACTTGCCATAGTTAAACCTTCAGTAGTTGAAATAAATCTTAAAGTAGTCTCATCAGGAACAAGAGATAAGCGTAAATGTTGGCTATTTAAAGGTGTTTAAAAATTACCCTTGTTTCTGAATAGCTTCTTCAATTTGATTGTATAGAACTTGCAGATTATCAAAGTTCCCTCCACGACAGATATGATGGAAATCAAAATGCACATACCTGTAGATAAAGTGAACATCAGCATAAAATGATAATTTTATATACATGCTAATCCTGTTAATCCCAGAAAGATATTTTATCACTTTTATAATCACAAATCAATAGAAGGATATCTTATGATTTTCACGAAACATCAAGCACCTGATGTTAGGAATCCTCTCCATTTCAGCAGCAAATGCATTGCTTAAATTTCCTTCATCTCCTTGCTGAAACCAAACAAACCTAGTTAGATGAACTGTCTTCTGTCCTCGATAACCTAAAATAAATAATTTACTAGATCTAGATTAATGTATATGCACTACCAACTGATGAGAAAACATGAGGCACGACACCTCAAGCCAAAGTGTGCAATACCCAATATGTTTATTAAGCTTCATATAAGTTGGATTATACAGGATTGAAATTGGTTTGTTGCACTTTATTTTTCATGGAAAAAGGTCATTTACACAATTTACTTATCCATATTTTTTTAAAAAAAAGTGTGAAATTTCTTCAAGGCAAACATATTTCCTTTTGAATGTTCATTTCACTAATTTCTAGATTGGAAATTAAGCAAATAGAGAACAGAATATCATAGCACACAAGGTTCAGCTATTTCTAACCAAGCAAAGAGACTACATGGATACAAGTTCATGTAATTTAGCTCATACTGTGAACACAGCACTAAATCATCAATCGTCATACCGTCGACAACTAAGTTTGATAAACTTCACAGTTGCATTACAGTGTTCAGTTATTACTATATTAGATAAACTAATATTTCAACATCAACATGAGCACAGGACTTACCTTATCTGTCAAATCAACAACAACTGTGTCCCCATATCTTTGTGAAAGATCATGAAAGTGGCGTTGGACAACCTTCGGCTGTAAGCAGTACAAGTTTGTAAGAGATCTACAGATAATCAGTGTGAAAGGTCATTTAAGAGGTATCAAACTAAAAGGCAGTAAATTCCTACCGTTTCCTCATGTTCAATTATGTTGAGACATGGTTTGTAGCTTAAATCCACTATTTGCTCCCAGAGAAGTGGAATGGAGCCTCGAACCTAACAAGGGAGTGAATAAGATTGTGAGGCACTGGAAATGGGACAACATCAAACTAAATGACACTCCAAACTTGTACACATTCCTTAAAGGGCTATAAACGATATACACCACAATTATGCATAACACAAATGAAAGTAACTGTAAGATATTATATGAAGCCTATAATATTTGAATGAGGATAAGAAATTATGTAACATTGGATTACAGGGGGAGGAGAGTCTATCTTATTCTTGTTCATATTGAACAATATGAATTTATGACCAATTTTATCACATTGAACACCACAATTATTTTGTTGATATAGATTGATGACATTCTTTCTTTGGGAATCAACTTGATAGTATGTATAAAAAATATGAATACCAACATACAATCTAGCACTGATATCCATTGAATCTATTTCTATATTAATAATTAAGATCTCTTGTCAATAATCCATGATCATCCAGCAACAAGAAATTTCATTTGTAGTATCAAGAAGCCACCTGTATAAATGAAGACATCAAACCTTCATACTCTGCCAGCTGTTCTGTCTCAACAAAATTAGCTGTGGCTCCTTCAAGATTTGCACCTCTCCTCCACATTCTTGTTCCTGCGTTGAATGCACGTAAATGCAATACAAGTTGGAAAAGCATCATTATGTTTGTATAAAGTAACTCATACTACAACTTTCCAATTGAAACATCACAGGTGAGAAAAAAGTACAACCTAGACGCCTGTTGCATCTACGTGAGAACAACGTTATTCTGACAGGTGCCTCCTTTAAGGAAAATTGCGCTGTCTGAAAACGTTAAATAGTCAAGGATATAGCAAATTGCTAAAGCATGTTTCTCTGCTGATGATTGAAAAACAATGAGCACTGTATCACACATTTTCAACAACTAAACACAGATAATCCGTATATCCTATACTGTCCTCCTGGGTACCAAAAGTCCAAAACAGAGAAACCGATGTTACATGTAAAAGGTAAATGCTCAATACACACCAGTGAAAAGTAGAGATAAGAATAAAAAAATAAGCAGTGAAAATATCTGAGATTTTGGATATTTCCTTGGACCAGTGGGATGATAAATTCATCAAGCTGCAAAAAGAAAAAAGGGAGAAAAATAAGCAAAGATGTAAAAAAGGAAATAAATAAATAAATGTTTTAATTTAGTCAAACATGATTACTTTTGCTTCAATAAACTCCTCTAGCAAATTTTTGTTCCAAACGAAACGTGGGTCAGCCTGAAATATAAACTTAAAGAACTGTCAGGAAACAGAGTAAAGATGAATGATTATAAGTAACATAACCAAAAAAAAAAACTAGTATAGTTTTCTGACTTAGCATGTCTCCAATTATTATGCTCACTGTGGCTGTTGCAAGTCAAGCTTCAAACAGTACAGTGCAATCGAGCATACATAATGATAGATAAAGTCTCTGTATTAAATGCATCAGCAGTCAGGTCTGTGTGCAGAAGCTGCTCTAACAAATGCACACATCCCGTTCATCAAATCCTTTTGTATAATTAAGAAATGTATAAAGTAATGGTAGTTAGAACAGATATAGCTAGCACTTAACAGTATACCAAAATCAGCTCAATCAAGAATCAATAAAATTCACAATGCCAACAGAACAGATTAAATGATAAAAGTAGTTGTTCCCTCTCTTCCTTTTTGACTGACAATTAAGAATCCATGAGGTCAAACATTCTAAATTTACCTCCTCTTAAAACTATCAAAGTTGGATGTATGAGAACTACATCAGTAAATTCATCATTAAGAATACTTCCATAGCATTATAGGATTTATAAACTCTAACGACAATATATTTACAAAAAGTAATGCTCAAAGATATTCTTTTTCTCAAGCATGGACAGGAGAAAATTACACCTGAAAAGTAATGGTCAAAATTGCATCTGATTTGTTTAGATGTTACATCTCCACATCCCAAGTCCTTACACAGTTCAGGCTTTGCATTTTTGTTACATTTTGCAACACAAGATTTCAGCCATTTATATGAGTTCAGTTAATCAGACTTACAAATGCAAAAAACAATGCAAGTTTAATTGGAAAGAGTATTATAAATAACTTAAGAGAACAACCATAAAGATTTTCTCAAAGATAACAGCCATAATGACTCAAATACCCAGGAAAATAGTATGTACTAAATTATGGAGTGAATCATCACTAACCTGTTTCCAGAGTGGCTTATGTACCCGCCCAGCAGGCAACTTTGATGCCCTCTGCAAGCTACGAAGTAATAACTCATAAGACAGAAAATAACTAGTGACAAAGTTTATTGCAAGGATGTGAACAGATAGATATTTTAGTTGACCTATCCACAGTCATGCATAACTTGATACTTACTTCAGTGTCAAATCCCTGTCATAAGAGTAATAAAGCCCATGAGTAGTTTCTGCGATTTTCAGGAGAGACATGAAATATGCCTCATCCCTTTTCTGCAATAAGATGGCATACACAAATTATGATACTGTGACCAAAAATACCAGATAAAGATAAACAATGCCCAAACAATGTGGATAAAATTGGATGCTAACTACTCAATTTTGTCATACTTCTTGTGCAGTTAAATGCTTTATAGCCTCGTTGCAGCATAAGAATTTCATCGAGTTCACATTGTAAACAGGGGATCCCTGATATGAACCAGCGTCCCTTTGAGAAGTGATGACAAGTACATAGCTTCCTGATAAAAAAAAAGGGAAAGTGGAAAGCCTGCTGCATAAAATTATAATTTCCAAAAAAAAAAGGACAGAAAATTAGCAATTATAACATGGAGAACTTTACAAAAAGACATAAGGAAATCATTTTCCTTTATCAAATACTTCCAAGCGAAAAATATTTCCAGATTTTTATCTACCAGATATAAGTTTGATTATCTTCAGCAGTGCAATGTATGCTCAATTATTGAGCAAATGGATTTTGTATGCTGCACTGTCATACTCTCAGCAAAACAGTAATTAGTTGCACTGTAAAAGTGAGTATTTGGATTTTATTTTTTGTTGGACCAATAAATTTTCTAATAATCCTTTTTTATATTTTTCCTGACAATGTGGAATTAGTATGTATAATAAAAACTACATTCAAGTGTAAAACCTAGAATGAATCTAATTGAAATGCAGAAGTTTCCCAGCATACAGTTAGTGCTAGGCAAATATCTAAATTTGAAGACACCAACAAGTATTAGTAATTAATTACCGAATAGGAGGTTCAAGTGTCAGACCATGTGATTTTGTATGGTGGAACTTTCATTAGCACGATGTAATTTAAACTGAAATTGCTTGTCAAGCACTGGGTGAATAAACTTGAGTTAAACAGTAATGATTAATATAAGTACATGGCTAAATGGAGGGAAAACAAGCACATCTAAGCAAACAATCATCATCCATATGTTTCTCCCTATGAGGAAAATATGAGTACAGCAAGATAAATCAGTTCCATGTGCAAATTTAGATCAGATCACTATTGTGCAGGCAAAAACTACAAACGAAGCTATCCAAATCGTACGTGAGAAAAACCACAAGCTATATAGAAATGGTGACTCACCGGCGAGCAACCTGATCACGCCAGCCACTCCGTAAATCTTCGACACCCTACAATCGCTTCCCGCAGCCGCTTCCTCTGCACGCGAACAAATGCACAGGTTAGTAAAACCACCATCGGTTCACGAGCCCAGCACTCAAACCAACCAACAAAACCGGAACATAGCCGCGATTTGTTTTCCCCTTTGCTTTGCACGGAACGATTCCGGCGGCGGCGCGCTTCACGGTGAGGGGAGGAGTAGTAAGTGGTAACCTGCGGAGAGGGGGCGGAGGGAGCCGTTGGAGCGGGAGACGGCGAAGGCGCCGCCGCCGTCGACCGAGCGGATCACGTAGCGGTCGCGGAACTCCCGCAGCTCGAGCTCGCGGCTGCAGGCGCCGGGGCGGAGGGGCTCCTCGGCGAGCAGCGGCGCCTCGTCGGCGGCATCCGTCGCCATCGGCGGCGAGGCGCGTGGCGTGTGTGTGTGCGCGCTCGGTTTACGTTTGGATCGGTGGCCCGGCCCCCCGGATCCGTGACGGGAGAAGGAAAAGGGGAACGAGAAATGGCTGATTGCACGTGGTCCCTTGGGTTTATTTGGTGGGGGCTCAGATCAGTTGGGGATCGGGGTGGGAGGGACCCGCAGCAGGTTTACATTACAGTCAGTATTACCGTGCTTACCGCGGGTACGGTAATATAAATATCATGGTAATCTTCTTACATTTAAATAAATTTAAAAAATAATTTGATTTTTTGATAAATTTTATACGGTTTTTTCACAGTTACTGCGCGGTAACCGTGCTTACCGTCGAGGCGCGGTAACCCCGGCCCCGGCGGTTTGGGAACCCCGCAGACTGCAATGTTTCATGTCTTACACTTCCGTCCCCAGGCTCATCAATAATCGTCTAATTTGGACAGGTTTCATTCAAAAATTTAAAAGAGACGGAAATGAGCAGCACATTCCTAATCTCAAATAATCGTGTTGAATAGCGGTAGAGCTGCCTGCATCGTGGGTAGAACTACGGATATGTGGTGTATATGAGAACATCGGTGACAATATTTAGGGTAAGCGGAGTAGGAGACGAAGTAGCTAAGATGAGAAGAGGTGATAAGGCCGTTAAACTCATCCAGTAATAGAGATGGCCTCGAAGGTTATCTCATTGGATGTAGCAGTATATGAGGAGGATCAACTAAGAATGGTAGAGGCGGTATCACTTAGAGTTTAGGGAAGAAAAATATAACTAAGAAAGAAGGTGGATAGCTGATTTTTATTGGTTGTGTGAACATTACATAGCACTTTGATATGATTTTGAGGTTATTTGGCCAATATCATGTTAGGTTCTACGCACATATTAAAGTGTGATTAGTTTTGTGTTGTTAAAAAGAATTGAGTCCATTTAATCTATGCAGTGCTATTGTCTACTTTGAATTAATTCCCGACTATCTCATCTCACATCAAACATGCATTATTACCACAGAATTTTGTTTCGTCTATATATTGAGAATAAGGTATTGTTTGATCGAGAGCCACACTTCTGACCACCGAATTAGTATAGTATTTTGTTGTTGCTATAATTATGGTGTGCCACACTTTTCAAGGAATTGGAGCCATTTGTCATGTCTTATTTTCATACCACAGCTCACCGCAATGTGTGGTTTGTCATCACACTTGGCAAAACTTTCCGAGCATATATAAGCTAGATAACCAGGTCTATTTCAAGCATGCATCCAGTCATCCATCCTCTGATTATCACATTTGCAAACCATGATTCAGTGATACACACAGATAAATATAGTGGTTGATTTTGTTTAGCTATAGTGCTATACTACTAGTCCGATGAGGTGTTATCATTCAAAGGCTCAAAACACAATAATAACGAAAGAAACACGATATTTTGTAATGGGATTGAAATTAACATACTTCCACCATCCCAAAACATTTGTTATTCTATATTATTTAGCATAAATTAAGATTTAAGAAAAAATATTATATTATCCCTTAATAAATATTATGTAGTTGAAAGTTAAGGATAATCATGGGTAGATTTGGGATAAATTTAACTGAAAGATGATTGATTTAACATGTACTCCGTATTAAAGTTTGTAGCGACAACTATTTTAAGACAAAATTTGAATACTAAAATGACAACTATTGTAGAATGGAGGTAGTACATCCCCAACATCAGCTCTCTCTCTCTCTCCTTCACATTATTATGGGAGCAATGAGCACTTAATAAAACCGTGACACTGAAAATCGCACTTACCAATGTTCTTGTGCTCTCGAGAAATCATCAGTTGGTATTGAATTTTTTATTTATTCAAATATTTTTTAAAAAAATTCAAAGTATTACATATCCATCCACTAATGTTCCTGGGGAGGACGATTTTTATGACATGGCACATGGTTGTTAGCTCGTACTAACGGCTACGCGAAGGAGGGTTGGCTATTTTTTAGGTAGCCCCCTTGCAACCTTCCACGTGACAATTATCATGCGCTAACATCTATATGCCATTTCAGTAAAAAAAAAAACATCTATATGCCATGCTATAAAAGATGTACTCGGATGAGTTTCTTTTAGTATGTATTACTTTGAAAAAAAATATTTTGCTCCTTTCTCGCAGGCCAGGAAGGCCTCGTCGCATGGTCGATGGCCCTGCTGTGCAGGCTCCTTTCGTGTCATCGTGTGCCGGTTGACGAACCGAGTAGGAAAGGAAAAAGTACACCGGAGGTCCCTCAACTTGTCATCGAGTTACGTAATCGTCCCCAAACCGCAAAACCGGATATTTGATATCTCTCAACTTACAAAACCGTTCACTTTAGGTCCTTCGGCGATTTTGAACCCGGTTTTATCCGACGTGACGGCTGAGTCAGCGTGGGACCCACTTGGGCCTCACATGTCAGGCTGCCACATCACACCCCCCCTCTCTCTCTTTCCCCTCCTCTCCCTTCCTCTTCTTCCTCCTCTCTCTCTCAATTTTCTCCTCAACGGAAAGCCAGCCAGCGGGTGGGGAGAGGGTCGTCGGGGCAAGGCGGGAGAGGAGGTCCGGCGGCGGGCGACGAGGCGGTGGAGGCGGGGCCGGGCGACGCTGCGGTGGGCGTCGACGGGCGCCGCGGCGGGGGGCGACGAGGCGGTGGAGGCGGAGCCGGGCGACGCGGTGGTGGGCGTTGACGGGCGCCGCTGCGGGGGACGACGAGTCGGCGTAGGCAGGGCCGGGCGACGCAGCGGTGGGCGTCGATGGGCGCCGCGGTGGGCATTGCGGTGGTGGACGCAGAGACAAAGGCGGGCCCGGGCGCTGCGGCGGTGAGTGCAGAGGCGGGCACCGCGGCGGTTGGCACAGAGGCGTGCGTCGCAGCGGTGGATGCGGAGGCGGGCGCCGCGGCGATTGGCACGGAGGCGCGTGTCGCAGCGATGGGTGTGGAGGCGGCCTGGCTATGGGGACGACTGCTTCCCCGTTTTCTTCACCAAGACCAAGTGCACGTCGGCGCCGACGTGGTCCTAGCACTCCTCGATGGGTTCCTCTTCGCCGCTGCACCGACGGGCTTTGCTTCGACCCTTCGCTCCTCCACGCTCGGCCGCCGCGTCCTCGACCTTGGTGGCTCACGGCGTGGCCGGTGGTCAGCAGGGGAGAAGAACGGCGGCGGCGTTCGGTGGTGAAGACGGGCTGAGGTCGGGGAGACCGGAGGCCGCCGCCGCCGCCGTGCTCCCCCTGTCCTCTTCGATCTCCCCCCGTGCTCCCGCCGCTGCCACCCTTCCCTTCTCCCGCGTCGCCGGCCGCCGGACATCCTCTCCAGCCTTGCCCTGGCGACCGTCTCCCCACCCGCCGGCCGGCTGCCCATTGAGGTGAAAAGTGAGAGAGAAAGGAGGAAGGGAGAGGAGGGGAGAGAGAGAGGGGGTGTGACGTGGCAGCCTGACAAGTGGGGCCCACGTGGGTTCCACGCTGACTCAGTCGCCCCGTCGGCTAAAACCGGGATAAAAACCACCGAAGGATCTGAACGATTGAGGGATGTTATATATCCGGTTTTGCGGTTTGGGGACGATTTTGTAACTCGATGACAAGTTGAGGGACCTTCGGTGTACTTTTTCCGAGTAGGAAACGGACGATTGTGACATCCACGGAAATCCGTGGAATTCGGCCATGGCCCATAGGTGGTGGGCTGTACTGCTGTGGCCATTCGACGCTGGGCTGTGGCCTATGGGTGTCCCGTCCCGCGCGCACCGACAGGCGCGGCCCCAGCCCATAGGTGTTCGAGAGCCTTTCGCTGTTGGGCTTTTCCGCACTGCTGGAACCAGTTCTTGACAGTGGACTTGTAGGAAAGAGGATCAGTCGAACTCGACTCCGTACTTGACTGCTTCTGATTGAAGCTTTGGTTCTTAACTATTCCATGGATAAACAGGATCGGCTCTGTTTAAACACTCGCGTTCATGCATTACTCAAGAATTTGATGGTGATTTATCTGTGGGTGAGGGTAACTATATACTCCCTCCGTCAAAAAAAACTTAACTTCTAGAGTCCAATTTATCTTCAGCACATAAAACGAGAAGTTATATCCCTTAAATATCATTTACCTACCTATCACTATTACTACATTTTCTATTGATGAGGGTTATTTGGGTCATTTTTACTCCCCACTAAATTTGCCTTGGGATGTTAGGAATCTTTTTTTTTAGGACAGAGGGAGTACGAGTTATTGATAGAAATAGATGGACTCATAGAATGAGTGCTTTCGTCACTTTGTTCCATTTCCACCCAAGTACGGGAAATGAGAGGCCATGCTAACTCTCAGTTTTAATTCCTTGTTTTGTTCTTTGATAAGGTATCGGATAATAAATCTACAAAGAAAAGAAAATACTACTTGCCTCACTATCAAACTGGTGTCCATATATGGAGTTGGAATCTGGGTTTAAAGAAGGGAAGGGGCGGAGGAAAGATGGCCAATCTTTTTTTTTCTTTTTACTGTCATAGTGAATTGGCGCCCTTCTGCAAGAAAGGCACGTAAATCCTTATCACCTTTGCAAAAAATGTGAATGTTCTGTCTTCCTCAGGGAGTATAAATTTGGAGACCAAAAGGAGGCTGGTTGACGAAGTCATAAAGGAGTCTCACTCCGGTGCTTTTTACTTGGAAGTGCTTTCTACTTGGAGTAGAAAGTAATTTGGATCGTTGATCTCATTTAATCCAAGGTTTCAGATTTATTTCTACTACCACCTCACTTAAGGGTAGTAAAATCATGGAGGGTATTATTGTCTATGAAAAAAATATTTGCGGAAGGGTACAATCATCTTTTACATTCACTAACCCTAGCCGGGCTCTTTCCTCCGTCATTTGTTCCTCACGCCGCTGCCCGAAGAGAAGTCCCAAATCGCATCCGGCGCCGACGCCGAGCGACCCCGCCTCGTGGCTCCTCCCTTCCCCCGCCATTGCCGCCTCAGCCGACCTTGCCGGCTCCAACGTCCTCGCCTCGTCCGCCGCCCTCACCTCTTTACCAGAAAATACTAGTATCCTACAACTCACAACTGAATTGTGAACTAGTATATTGAAAAATTTATAGTAATTCCATTACAGCTAACAAATGTGTTCTGTTGAGTACCCTGATGAAGTCCACTCCCTCGTGTCGTAGGCAAGCCTCACAGCATTGTTACCTCTTATCTGGCATCCATTTCCTGCACCGTGCATGTTGTTTGGAGTTGAGTTTACTCATGTTATTATTGAAATTGGATACAGGATGATATCCTATAACTCCGATGCCTCTGCAACGCATCTCCGGATCAACTTTCGGGTAAACAGCTACTTATCTTACCTGTGGCCTGACTAACATTAGTTGCTCATAATATTTTCTATCTTATCTTACAATTATTGCTGTGAAGCACTCCTATTTGTTTAGTTTCTTGAGGGAGGCTCGAAGCTGTTTCTAATCTTATCAAGACTAGAGAAGAAAGGAGAATAACCAGATGCCAATGCGAGGCTCAAGGAGTGTTGTCCCATATTACCTCTGACTTTAATTGTACTATTTTACAAGTCATATTTTTATGTGACCTCAACTGTGCTTACATGTTTATTGATCCAATGCCTCTCTGACTTCTTTGATGTTGGCTCGAAACTGGGATAAGGTTGTAATTTTGCACATAGGAAAACCTAGGACCTTGAATTGTATAGTTTTAAAATCATGTTTTTATCTGATCTCAACTATGCTTACATGTTCTGGTGCCCTTGTGACGTCATGTTCGGTGAATGAGTGCAAGTGCTATCTATACAGTTGCTCCGTGTGCATGTGTAAATGTCAATGGTTCCACAAAACAGTTGATCAGTAAAAAAGCAGCTCTTTCTGAGATTGGACGATGTCACCCCAATGACCTATCGGTAGTGTACTACACATGGTCCAATTTTGAACAGGATAATGGTAATGTTTTGAGTGTTGCTAACGCCAGATGGTCTTTAGAAAAAGGGAAATTTTGCTATAGGATACTTGTTATGTGTGGTTTTAGCTCTATGACACTGCCCAAACTCATTTTTGGGGGAAAACACTCCATACTTTTGGGGGAAAACATTCCATAAACATGGTAATTTGCCAGTGGACACCGCGACGATTAAAATAATACTTTCCGGTTGGGGAGGAGAGAGAAATCGCGTGAAATGTCAAAAATACCATTGGGCCCACATGTCAGCTCTATCTCCTATCTCTCTCCTCATCTCTCTCTTTTCTCTCGCGCAGCCAGCCGGCGACTCTTCCCAGCGCGTCGCAGCCAGCCAGGTCCTCCCCTCGTCGCGGCCGGTCGACGAGCATCTCGTCCGGCGTGCACCATAGCCGGTCATGTCCTCCCCGTGTGCGTGGCTGCCGACGAGCTTTTTCTCCGTAGCCGGCCATCCTCCCACAAGTCGGTCCCTCCCCTGTCTTGCTCGCGCGGCTGCCGATGAGCTTCTCCTCCGCAGCCAGCCATCCTCTCGCCCATTTGTCCCTCCCCTGCATCTTGCTCGCGCGGCCGCCAACGAGCTTCTTCTCCGTAGCCGGCCCACCTCCCACTCGTCGTTCCTTCCCCTGCCTCGTGCTCGCTTGGCTTCACGTCGTCCTCCCCGAAACTCGCCGGCTCTACATCGCGTCCCCCTCCCCCGCTGTGGCGGTGACGCCCCTTTCTGCTGCGGGCACGGGCACGGCGAGGGGTGGCTCCAGCGGCCGCACGCTCGTCCACCGCCACCGCCAGCCACCGTCCTCGCCATTTGTGAGAGAAAAGAGAGAGATAGGAGATAGAGCTGACATGTGGGCCCAAGGGCATTTTTGACATTTCACGCGGTTTCTCTCTCCTCCCCAACCGGAAAGTATTATTTTAATCGGCGCGGTGTTCACTGGCAAATTACCACGTTTATGGAGTGTTTTCCCCCAAAAATAAGTTTGGGCAGTGTCTTAGTGCTAAAATCACACATAACAAGTGTCATGTAGCAAAATTTTCCCTAGAAAAAAGTCTAGAAGATTTTCGTTCACGAAAATACCATCAAGGAGTCGCACCAAAATACTAGAAGGATTTACCATGTGAGAAATTTACCAAACAAATTGCCTGCAGACATGAGCGAAGCAGAGCGTTGCGACAGTGATGAACGCCGGCTGAGAGCTACCGAAATAGGGCAACAACGGCAATAGTGCTAAAGTTAGCGAAGGATCGATGCGATACAAGATTGAAACGTAATAAAAATCACGAATATTTTCCTAATACCAAGTTTACCCCTAACTGTAGTCCTAACATAGTACTAATATGCCCTTGGAAATCGACGGTTTGGATTATTTCTACTTGTAGTATATACTACAAGTAGAAAGCACCGGAGCGTCGCCCAAGAAGATATATTCTCCACACTTTATTCTCCTATATCTAAAGAGCACAGGAACGGGAGAATCAAGTCACGTTGTTCAGGGGACGAATCACCGTGGTTAATTACTCCTGCAACCTTGCTAGCAGACACTCTGTTCTGCTAAATATACCACACACACACAGGTTCTCTTTATCCGCCGCTGCTTCTGAATTTTTGCCCGATCCGACATCCAACATGATATACTACCGATGGCCAAGGCAGGAACTGGGCCTAACGACATGGACAAGCTCCATGTACATCCAAGGCTCCAGCCAATCGTTTTGTCTTGACGCACACTTCACTTCTGCCGCGCCATTTTTGTCACCCCAGGTTTGCTGCCTCTGAGACGGACTAGGACACTACGCTACGTGCAAACTGCAAACATAAACGTACCCGGCGAATTCCACAGATTCCATATTGATGCGAACACGAATTCCAAAACCAAACCTTTTCCCTGTACGTCTACCGTCTACGTGCACCATGGGGCAAAGCCGCGAAGGCAACGAATCCAAATATATGAGGCTCAGGTTCCAATCTTAGCTACGCGAACTAGTACAAAGATGATCTGCAAAACCCCTCACGTGAACTGCCCCGTGCGCTGATAAAAAAAAAATCAATCCATCGGTTTGGTGATAATATTCTTCTCCACGAGCTGCTGCTAATCGGTTAATCGCTTCCTTGCTTGGATCGCACAGCAAAATAATTAGGGCAGCTATATTGCCTTTTCTCTTGCTTGCGACAGCAGGAATTGTAGGACGATTAATCTTGGCTAAGCTGGTCTCGTGATCGATTCATAATCGTCAGCGTACGGCGGTATAAAGCGGCCGGGGGAAAGGCCGGCTTCGCCTCCCCTTTCCTCCAATTCTCATCGCCATCGATGCCGCTCTTCTGCAAGCACGGCGCCGGCTTTCTTGCCGTCGCCGTGTCTACATCCATCGTCTTCCTCCTCCTCCTTCACGCCTTCTCGCTGCCGGCCTCGGCGCTCTCCTTCGGGCTAGCGCGCCGCCACCGGAAAGACGCCGCCGTGAGCTGCGACGTCTTCAGCGGCAGCTGGGTCCGCGACGACGGCGGCGGCGGCGCGGCGGCGTACACCGGGTACAACTGCCCGGTCATCGACGCGGAGTTCAACTGCCAGCTGTACGGCCGGCCGGACTCCGACTACCTCCGGTACCGGTGGAAGCCGGCCGGCTGCGAGCTACCCAGGTAACGCATATTATACGACTAGAGCGCGAATTAGCTGCAGCGATCGACGCGCGATTTTGCTATAGGTTTGATGGCGCGGACTTCTTGACGCGGATGAAGGGGAAGACGGTGATGTTCGTCGGCGACTCGCTGGGCCGGAACCAGTGGGAGTCGCTCATCTGCCTGCTGCACGCCGCGGCGCCGCAGTCGCCGGCGCAGCTCGTCTCCGTCGACCCTCTCTACACGTACAAGTTCCTGGTACGTACGTATTTAATTTCCCTATTGCACTTGCATGATCTTACTGCAAATGTCATATAGATGTACTCATGGTAAGTACGTACGTACGTACGTATGTATACGAGCAGGAGTACGGTTTGGTGGTATCGTTCTACCGCGCGCCGTACCTGGTGGACATCGGCGTGGCTCAGGGGAAGAAGGTGCTATGGCTGGACGACATCTCCGGGAACGGCGAGGCGTGGCGCGGCGCCGACGTGCTCTCCTTCAACTCCGGCCACTGGTGGACGCACACCGGCACGCTCCAGGGGTATGTATTGTAAGATATTTACTCCGGTCCAACAAAAATTACAGTATCGGTATCAAATCGTTTCTGATCGTTTTGAATCTAGTTAGACGGTATTGTAAACGTCGTGATACGCGCCCTTTTCCACACGCACCCGCCAGATTTCCTCTTCAGCTTCGTTTCACTTCACGTATGCAGGTGGGATTACATGGGCGCGGACGGGCGGTACTACGAGGACATGGACCGGATGGTGGCGTTCCAGCGCGGGATGGCAACCTGGGCCAACTGGGTGGACGCCAACGTCGATCCAGCCAAGACCCGTGTCTTCTACCAGTCCATGTCCCCCACACACTACAGGTAAATCTCACAAGAGCCAATCTCATATTCTCATCTCAACCTCATGATTCCATCACCCCATCTCTCTCTACAGTGTACACAGTACACTAGACACCTTACCATGTGCGTGCACGTGTACAGTAGTACACTCGTACTATGTGGCAATGGTGTATTGTATTTCACTCTCTTTTCTGACAACGCGATCTAATTTTGTTCTGATCTGTGCCGTGGGCCGCTGGATCGATCGACCAGCTCGAAGGAGTGGGCCAACCCGGTGTCGAAGAACTGCTACGGCGAGACGGCCCCGGCGGCGGCGGCGGCGGCGGGGCTGAACGCGACGACGGCGCAGGCGACGTCGGGGCAGGACCAGGTGATACAGGCCACGCTGCGGTCGATGAAGAGCCCCGTTCGCCTCCTCGACATCTCGGCGCTGTCGGCGCTGCGCAAGGACGCGCACCCGTCGGTGTACAGCGGCGACCTCTCGCCGGCGCAGCGCGCCAACCCCGGCGGCGGCTCGGCGGACTGCAGCCACTGGTGCCTCCCCGGCCTGCCGGACACGTGGAACCAGCTCTTCTATGCGCTTCTCTTCTACCAATAGCTGTAGCCTGTAGGCAGTTAATTTCGTTTTTTTTTATATCGCTCGGTGTAACAATCTTCAGAGTGAAGGTGAGGAGGCGTGGTGACAGTAGGCACACATGGATGAGACTCTGAGAAGAATCAAGAATGTACATTGATTGATCATGCGCTGCCAAATTGCAGTTGCAGTGTACACGGTTGTACTATGATCTGTCTGTGATCTGTCGCTAAATACTCTGATAATTGTGACTCTGGTACCCACATCTAAACATCTTTGATAACCTTGCACAACAGAGGATATTTGACTTGATCGCTAATAACCACACGCGAGGTTCTTTCAACTACGAACTCCCTTTGTTTTTTTTTTTCGGACATGATTATTCTCAGATCAATTCACGATTACAAACGAAAAAAATAATGTGCATTGTAAATACAAACGAGGATCAACTACCGGTCTACCGCACGGTACAACGTTTACGAATTTTTTTTATTTATAATTTTTTTTATTAAAAGTTTTACAAAAATAATTTTCCATTTTGAAAATTGACGGAAGGAGTCGCCTACCGCCCTCTGGGAGGGCGATTTTTAAAAATCGCCCTCTCAGAGGGCGGCGAAAATGACGTGGCAGACGGCCGTTCGCTCTCGGGCGACGGCCGTCAACGAAATTTGCAGGCGGCCCCCTTGCCGCCCTCCGCTAGGGCGATTTTATACTGTGCGGGGGGCCGCCTGCAAATTGGCGGCGAGGGGGGGCATGGAATTTTGCAGGCGGCCCCCTTGCCGCCCTCCGCTAGGGCGATTTTGTACTGTGGGGGGGCCGCCTGCAAATGGGCGGCGAGGGGGCATGGAATTTTGCAGGCGGCCCCCTTGCCGCCCTGGGGGAGGGCGATTTTTGCCTCTCCCCCTATAAAGCCCAGTCCCTCCTCTGTGAAATTTCATTATATTCACTAAAAATCCAAAAAAAACAAAAGAGAGAGAGGGGAGGGCAGCAGAAGGGGAGCGGCGAAGCCCTGCTGGTTCGCTCAATTCATCACAGGTATGCTCCCATACATCTTTTGCATTTGTACTAATATGTTATGTTTGAGTATATATGTTGCGTTTTAGTTTTAGTTCCATATATTTTAGCACATTTGTAGCACACAGCACATATGTGTAGATCCAGAGCATAGAATATAATAGTATGAATTGAGACATAGACAGTAGTGTTAATTGTAAGATGTAGTTTAGTTTGATCTGGAGAATGTAACGTAATTTTAGAAATTTAGAGAACAATATTGTAGAGAATGTAACTTAGGGCGTAGTACAGAAATGCGAGGTTAACGCAGTTATTGTTTTCATCAGGCACAATGTCAAGTAAGGTCACATTTCAGATAGTTCACGGTGAAGGAAATATTAGATTTGGTCCAGATGGTGTTGATCTGTACAGGCAGGACGGGTTGGCCGTGCCGTACCCCCGGACCGACTCACGTACTCCCACGGGCACATTAGGGCGCAGGGTAGGAGGGATAGGGGTAAGAGGCCTCGTCAGTAGTGTTCTACCTCTTCAGTCCTTATGTGACCGTTTCTTTTGGCTTACAAACTTGTAAAGTAGTACTACTTTTGCTATTACTACTGCAGTACTACTTGTGTTTGTCTCGTCTACATAGTTCTTTTCATTCATATGGTGCTAGAACAACTTATGCTCATGACAACACACTTTCGGCGCTGCACGGTAGTGTCAGATCCAGTAGCGCGCACAGTCTACAACAGCACACATGAAAAGCGGCAGCTCGAGTTATCACTATCAACTTTCGGCGCTGCCTGTTTACATAAAGTGAATCACGCCCACGCGTGATCGTCTTGTCACATCTAATGAATAATGTATCTCATTGAGTTCACATATATTGCAGTGAAAACGACGCTATATAATTGACAATCTGAAGGCAACCTCTTCATATCTTCTTTCCCACTAGCACACAACACACGAAAATGGAAGCCTATTCATTGGTAATACGTAATCTAGATTTGAGATTATTTAGAACATTCTTCACTACAATTTTACATTTTGGCAGCAAACCAAATATGATCAAATGCAATTTTACCTTACCAAATATTTGGTCGTGAAGAAAAATTTGGCACTAACAATCCAAATATGCCCTAAAAATTAATAAAATATTTGTACGGTAACAATCCAAATATGCCCTAAAAAATAATAAAATTGTATTTTACCAGTCTTGGAGATTTTAATCTTGTATAGTTTTCAATATAAAAAGATTTGATAACTATTGATATTTATACAAAAATATAGAGCACAGTACAAAATCGCCCTTGCGGAGGGCGGCAAGGGGGCCGCCTGCAAAATTCCATGCCCCCTCGCCGCCCATTTGCCCCCGCACAGTACAAAATCGCCCTCGCGGAGGGCGGCAAGGGGGCCGCCTGCAAAATTCCATGCCCCCCCTCGCCGCCCATTTGCAGGCGGCCCCCCGCACAGTACAAAATCGCCCTCGCGGAGGGCGGCAAGGGGGCCGCCTGCAAATTTCGTTGACGGCCGTCGCCCGAGAGCGAACGGCCGTCTGCCACGTCATTTTCGCCGCCCTCTGGGAGGGCGATTTTTAAAAATCGCCTTCCCAGAGGGCGGTAGGCGAGTACTTCCGTCAATTTTCAAAATGGAAAATTATTTTTGTAAAACTTTTAATAAAAAAAATTAAAAATAAAAAAAATTCCAACGTTTACACCCGAAGGCCCACCTATCTGTGCTAAGTCAACAGTTGCAAAATATTCGGCCTACTACGGCCCAGGCCTGGCACGCGCGCCGCAAACGGGCTGCGGAAAATAATGGGCTGATTTTGGGCCATCAACGGAAAATCCGGCCTTCATAGAGATTCGATTCGAGCACGCGCGCCGGCTCCCTTTCCGGGTTCCTCGCGCTCTCTTGCCACTTCACAAATCGAGCCGCGTTCCGGAAGAAAAATACTAGGCTGTGTTTAGTTCCATCTAAAGTTTAAATTTTAGATAAAATTAGAGATGATGTGACTGAAAAGTTGTGTGTATGACAGGTTGATGTGATAGAAAAATGTAAAGTTTAGAGGCAAACTTTGGATCTAAACACAGCGGATGAACCATTTCGCGAAATTCTGGCTCCAATGATGCGGGTAGAGAGAGAGGAGAACAAAGAGAAGTATTTTGAGAAAAAAAAACAGAACGCATGCAAATCAGAGAGGAGCATACCACCACGCATTCTCTCGTGTGATGTCTCGCCACTCACGTCCACGGGGGAGTATCCGCAGGGATTTGATCAGTCAATTTGTCAGCACCTGAGTAAGATTTACCATCTACCCTTATGCTGTGTTTAGTTTCTGAAAAAAGTTGAAAGTTTAGGGAAAGTTGAAAGTTTAGAAAAAAGTTAAAAGTTTATATGTGTAGAAAAGTTTTAGATATGATGTGATGTGATGGAAAGTTGGAAGTTGAGGGTGAATTAAACACGGCCTTATTCGCTAGCAACTCAGGTGGTGTTTGGATCCATGGACTTAACTTTAGTCTTTATATTTAGACACTAATTTAGAGTATTAAATATAGACTATTTACAAAACTAATTACATAAATAAAAGCTAATTTGCGAGTCAAATTTTTTATGTCTAATTAATCTATAATTAGAGAATATTTACTGTAGCATCACATAGGCTAATCATGAATTAATTAGACTTAATAGATTCGTCTCGCGAATTAGTCCAAGATTATGGATGAGTTTTATTAATAGTCTACATTTAATATTTATAATTAATATCAAAATATCCGATATGATATGAACTTAAAAGTTTTAAAAGTTTTAGTCTCATCTAAACAGAGGGGCTGAGACAAGCAAACAAGTAGGAGGTACAGTGAAGTACTGTAGTCTGCAGACTGAAGTTGAGTAGTAGCAACAGCAACTAAATGAGATCGAATGAGTCTGGTGTCATCAAGATCGACTAAACCTTGTACGGAGTAAGTACGTGCACTGGTGATCATTCGGTTGACCTATCTATTTTGTTGGGTACAGTCCTACAGGAATTAGTTAGCTAGAGAGAGAATAATTGTCTGGTTTACTTTACCAGTTCCGTAGATTTGAAGCGTTGTTTCCTTAGGCCCCAGCTAACCAGATTCCGAATCTTCGATCATTTCTACGTTTGACGTTGTTTGTGTCATGGTCGATTGGCCGGATACCTGACGATGTGTTTTGTTCCTTGTTTCTAAAAATATATATATTTGTTTGGTTTGTAACCAAAATTTTAGTATCTCTTTAACACCAAACAAAATATCAGCAACTCCATATCCAAAAGAAATGCAATAATCCAAACATGCACCTTACAACGAAAAGGAGAATTGGCAATGGCCAAATCTTTTCGTTGCCAAAGAAAATCACAAACCTGAACTAATAAAAAATGCAGCAAGGGGCACGCAGTTTTCTGGAAATGGATCCTCTAATTATGTATCGTTCTCTATATCTAACTTTTAGTGGTTGATATGTGAGCCCTACGACTAATGGGCATTTCAGAGAAGACTCATCCGAGTTTTCCACTATTGTAGTAACTGTACCAGTAGAATACTTTTTAGTTTGATGTTGATCAAGAGATGTTATGATTATTGGTCCTGATAATATGAAAGAACGTGTCAAGTATGTTGTCTTAAGTTTGTGTATATATATATTTTTTCCTGCAAATCTCATAAGGAGATTTGTAGTATCGTTCAATTTTCTTCTTTGTTTCCTAACACTAGCATAATGACCATGTATTACAACGATTTTTTTTTAAAAGTATAACTCACTGTATATATGTTAAAGAAGCTCGTAAAAAAATTATTCATGCTATCTAATTTATTGTCGTCATGCTACTTTTGATGTTATTTTTTATGTGCCTACTGAGTTAGAGATATGTGGCCTATGGCGTTAGAAAATAGGGAAAGTCTTGCCTTACTGTGTTGTGAGTTTCGCACGATAATATGGAATAGATACAAGATGAATGTGCACTCATCACTGTGAATGCCTCAACACAAGTTTAAACAACAAAAAGATTATAAATAAATCGGTAAATCTCATTAGGTTGCTGTTGGTGACTACATCCATTTTAATGGTGCCTGCAAATAATTAGCTTTTAGTTGAAGTGCTGTGTGTTCGCTGATCATTGATCACTGACCAAGAATCACATGAAAAAAAAATACTTGTACCGGCCTAAAGCACAACTTTGGAAGATGGTTGTATGTTATAGGCCCCCATCATAAAGTAAAATGTAAAACAGGCCCAATCGATCAGTAAAGCATCGAAGCAAACAACATACCAAGATCTCTCCAACAGATCGGTCGAACATCATATCAAAACTACAATGCGTTTATAGCTCCTAGGAGCGTACGTTAATATAATATATATAGTACTACCTTATATGCATAAATAACACATAGTATACATGATCGATACTTCTCCCTCCAAAAGTCTAACCTATAAACAACAGAGATAAGTCCAAATTTGTTCCCCCAAATATAGTTTTGGGACGATTTTCACTACTACAGAATTGATTTTTCTAGACAAGACCATCATTAAGTTGTAGACGAATCATAACCGTTCTCGCTTGCAAAAATCGTTCCCCGGGGATTAGTTGAAGGGTCGCATGCGAACAGTTGCTTAGGAGGCCCTTCTGCGAAAATATAATTATTTTTTCAGGCGGCCTCCTAAGTAGCCGCATACGAAAAAGACCTATCTACAAGTTTGACCTCCCTCCTCTCTTCCCTTACAGCATATTTTAAAATTTTCCAAAGTTCCATTATCATCTCCTCACCTTCTGTCTCCCCACTTATTTTTCTCCACCCTTTCTCTCCAACTTCTTCCCTCCTCTCCCACTTCCTACTCGGGCTGGCGACAAGAACGAGCGGCGGTGGCAACGAGGGCTCAGGAGGCTGCGGGAGTACCGGTGACGTCGGTGAGGACGAGCGGCTGCGGCGGGCTCGACCTCCAACTACGCAGATCCTGCCGCCTCTCCTTCCTCTCCCTCATCGTCTTCAATCCCGATGGCTAGCAGATCTGTCGATCGTGGATCCGGCCGGAGCAGATCTAGCGGTGACGGGCTCGACGACGACGGGAGCGGCAGTGGGCTCGGGGACGGCGGGCTCGGCCTCCGATCGCGCAGATCCCACCGCCTCTCCTTCCTCTCTCGCTTGGCTTCTTCTCTCTCGATGACTGAAGGGTGCACAACAGTAGGTCGACCGGGACGGATCCAACGACGATGGCGAAGGAGTGGGGGGTATCATGTCTAGGGTTTCGATTTTCGATTTTTGGGATTTATATTTATATTTTTTTGCATTGTTTTTGTTTTTGCGGGCGGACCACATAAGCATCCACACGTAAAAAACATATTTTTACATGTGGGTGCATCACTCGCATGAAAAAATTGCTATTTTCGTATACCTTTCCGAGCAGACGGACGGCCCCAGCCGCATGGAAAAATAGGTTTCAACCGCATGCAAAAATATTTTATTTTTAGTAGTGTTTGGTCCCTTAGCTACAAAACTATTCACCACTGGTCCCTTTAACTCTCAAAACTATTCACATTTTATCTCTGTATCTAAACTGAGATGGTTTTTTATGATGCCTACATGGAATTCATATGAGTGAACAGTGATGACATCAACCAGTGGCGGATCCACTGTTGGGGCTGGTTGGTGCGCCAGACCCAGCTCTAATCCCTGCCCCTAATTAATCATTAACAAGTCTAGTTAGTCATTACTGAAGAAAATTCCCAGACGGCAAAGATGCAGGCTTCCTCCCTGCTTCTACTGTCCAAACTGGTAAAATAGAATATACTCTGAGTATACAAAACAATATATTCACAGATTTTTATGAATATTTTAAGATAGACACAAATCAAAATAGAGAAAATTGTTTTGATCATATGCGCTTTTGGTATTCATTGGAAAATACTTTAGTTGATATATCTTTATTTGTTTTAATCACATTATATTTTTACACTAGCACCCCCTCAATTTACATCCTGTATTCGCCACTGACATCAACATAGTTATAGATAATAACAAAAACTAAAACGAAGTAAACTCTACAAAACTACCTGACAACATCATCTCATTTTCTTCTTTCTCACCAATATCCTATATATACGAGTTATGGGAATGTTTTACGTTTGATGTGCCTAGATTTTTCAAAATTTTCAGCCACCTTTTTCTTCCCTTGAATGATAATTCAATGGTTCTCATCATTCTCCTATTACTCATTATTTTTTTAAAAAAATGCCTCTTTTTTAGATGAAAGGTTAAACAATAAATTATTTTATCATATAATATTATACACGAAATAAACTACTTGAACAAAATTCAAACTTAATAAAAAACAAAGTAAAACGAAATATAACAACTAAATTAAAATTAAATTGAACTAAAGTTACATATTTTCGCAGCATCTGTAATTTTCAGCTTAGCAATATACAACTTTAGGTATATGGAATTTATCAATTTTCACACGCCTGAAATCTAGAAAATCCCACAATTTACTTAAAATTGCTAATTAGATGCCACGTGACACCACAAACTACCCTGATTTAGGTCTAAGGATGAAATATAGTTGATTTCAAGAACTGAGAGATCAACAATGAAGAGCTTCGTATAGTGGATAGACCATGTGAAAGGGCATGCAGTCTAGGGGTTGTACTGACAGTTCAAATAAATTTAGATTGGGTTATTTAAAGGCTAAGTTCCTAATTTAAAAATACTGCATATATCTGGTTGGATATAGAGGCCCGGGTATAAATGCCCTTCTCTAATAAAAAAAAAGTGGATAGACCATACGAACAATGCCATAGTTGAGTTGAGGGACCAAACCTGGACTTTTCTCGGATGGAGATCGAAGTCTCGAGTGGTACACGGCACAGCATGAAGGCAACTACATTACCACATAATATAACCGATTAAATAAATAAATCGGGCGCTGAACAGGCAGTATAATTGAACGATGATATCGTACAATTCTTCCATAAGTGCAAAGCATGATTTAGTGATCTGCAGCTTTCGAACCACTCAGGTCTGAAACTTGCTGCCCCTGCCCACTACAGCAGAAGCAGTTGGGCAAACACTCAGTGGCTCAGGGCCAATAAGCAGTTTTTGATGCAGGCGTTGAGAACACAATTTGTTGGAACAGTATCAGATTAGTTAGCACGTATAATGCCTAGTACTTCTACTTCAAAGCAGTATCCTTCAGCACCTTTCGGGTTGACAACGACAGTGAAATACAGTAAAAGATGCTCACGCTTCGGTTGGCTGTCTCAACTCCAAATATTGCCTTTGCTTCACTCCTACTCAAGTGAAATAGGTCGTTAAAAAGCAAGTGCCTAGTGCACCAGCTCTGTCCCTGACAGTACAGTCATATAATTCCCTCACTTTAATTACATTTCTTGCTGCAGTTGCACCGGCATGAGCACCATTAGGTACCAATAATCTGCTACTAAAGCACCTGAAGCTGCAATCACAGAAACCTCAGCTCACTCTGGAAGAAGCCAACCATCAGTGCCTCTGCCTGCACGTAGTGAGCTCACATGGTTCAGCTTCCCGCAATGAAGCGCGTGAAGGGGCGGGCCCCACTGTCAGTGGTGGTGGCGATCATCGGCGGGCTGGCTCTCGCGGGCATCATCTTTACAGAGGACCTCCGGGGTCTCACTGGTAAACCCATCACTAATCATCACTCACAACACTAATGCAATCTGTGGCATAAACTTATCGACGTAGTTGCAGATTGCAATGCATATTTGCATCCATGCATTGCGCCTAGCTCCACCTTCTGCAGCGTACATGTTATAGTGCTCCAGTTGACAGTTGTTGATCTTTTCAGAGGTCAAGGAGAAGGTGACAGACAAGGAGAAGAAGAGAACGTCGCTGCGGACCGTGATGAGGACGTCGGCGTTGCTCTCTGCTGATCAGCCGCCGCCGCCAGCGGTGCTCTCGGTCGAACCAGCAACGGCAACGCCGCCGCCAGCGCCGAAGATGGCGTTCAACGCGACCCGGTGCAGCGTGACGGATGGGTACTGGGCGTACGACAGGTCCAAGAAACTGCCTTACACGGACCAGACGTGCCCATACGTTGACAGGCAGGACTCTTGCCAGAGGAACGGCAGGCCGGACAGCGACTACCTATACTGGGATTGGCATCTTGATGACTGCCTTCTCCCGAGGTCAGCAAGCAACCGTATGCGCTAATTTCAGTGGTGCTTAATTTGGTATAATCTCAGATTATTCAGCTATGCTTTTTTTTCCCCTTTCCTTTTTGGCATTTTGAAGTTCATCAGTGTCATACTCCTAGTGCCTCTTTCCAAGGTCCCCATAATCTGGAATAAGTCCACTTGTCATCCCTCATCTTTACATCGAGTTTAATTGGCATCCCTATAAATCGTAATACTAGAAATCTTCACTCCTCACCTTTGCAAAACCGTTCAACTCAAGTCCTAAGATAGTATAGATGTGGCATCCTAGTAAAAAAAACTAAAAATATATGGGGCTCACATCTAAGTAGACTTCCACCTCTCCTCTCTTCCCCACCTACCTTTTCTCTCTCTTCAAGCTCGCTAACGGGGAGAGGGATGGTGGTCGGCGAGCCTATCTGCGAGAGGCAGTAGAGGTGGGAGGTCAACGATCGACGACGAGGGATCGCTGGTGATCCAAGGAGGAGAATAGGTGGCAAGCAAGGGAGCCAGCGAGTCGTTCGTGGGAAGGCGAGGTAGCTGCCGATTTGGAGGAGGCCGCTTGGGGGTTGCAAGACCTCATCTCCACGTACCAGCCCTATCAGGAACTCCGCCGGTCCAAGCTACCCGACACCGCCACGAGTTGACGGCCTCCACCACCAAGCCCATTCCTGGTGGAAGGCCCTCGCCTACTCAGCCTTCTCCGTTCGCTAGGACACTGGTCTCGACGCTCTTCTCTAGCCTCTGGGTTGTCAGCCACCCTCCACCGTCGGTTCCTTCTCGGACCGACCTCCGCCGCCTCTTCTTCGATAGGGCGTTGTCGACACCGGATCTGGTCCATGCTATCGCCATCACCTCGTCTCCTCTCTCCCACCGTCTTGGCCGTAACAAGGCAAGGTGCCGCCACTGCCCCCTCCTCCTATCAGCGCTGGCCGCCGCTTTGGATTTGGAGGAAATAGAAATACCCTGTAACATCCCGGCCTAGGGCTTAATAGAATTAATAGAATACTCATATCTGCAACTTCTTTTCCGGAAGCCAATCTCCAAAGAACTCCAGGGTTAAGCGTGCTTGGCCTGGAGCAATTTGGGATGGGTGACCGACCGGGAAATTCTTCCCGGGTGCACATGAGTGAGGACAAAGTGTGCAGAAAAGATATTTGGTCTGTGAGGGCAGTCTATGACCTATGAAAGCTATCAGATGTAAGTGGGCCCGGCCTGGGGGAGGCGGGACGTTACAAAATGGTATCAGAGCCGACTCTCGCGTGTGTCGCAGTTGCGCGGCTGGTGTAGACCGGGAGTGGTTACACAGCATGGCACATGCGCTGGCACTGGACACATGGACGTGGCCAAGAGAGGACGTTCCTGGCCTAGGGTTGATCGACGGGGGCGTCGATCTCTCTTAAGGGGGTGAGGGTGTAACATCCCGGCCTAGGGCTTAATAGGATTAATAGAATACTCATATCAACAAGTTGCAACTTCTTTTCCGGAAGCCAATCTCCAAAGAACTCTAGGGTTAAGCGTGCTTGGCCTAGAGCAATTTGGGATGGGTGACCGAAGCTATCAGATGTAAGTGGACCCGGCTTGGGGGAGGCGGGATGTTACATACCCTAACATGTGGGCCCCCACATGTCTTTTAATTATTATTTTTTGTTGGCTAGGAAGCTATGTTAGTCAAAGCAGCCTTTAATACTGCTATGGGACCCGATTTGAATGGTTTTGCAAAGATGAAGGGTAAAGATTTCTGGTATTACGATTTAGGATGCAATTAAACGACGTAGGCTCTCTTTGAATCTCCTGAAGATGAAAATTAAGTGTTTTACGTAAAACGAGACAGTAATAACTTGTGATTAATTGACTTTTAATTATTACAAACTTGATAAATGGATTAATTTGATATTTTAGAACAACTTTCATACAGAAAATTTTCGTATGAAACGCACCGTTTAGCCATTTAAGAAGCATGTCATGAAAATTCAAAACTTTATCTCCGCTCCGTTGGGTTCTCGAACAGGGCCGTAAAGATATTCCCTATAATCTTTCCTTCCACAGTATCCTCTTTTTCCATTGTAATTGGGCTGGGCCAACATTGGCACTTTGCTGAAGAATAATGGACCGGATCGTGTACCATGGCAGGTTTGACCCTGTGTCCATGCTGGAGAAGCTGCGGGGGAAGCGGATCATGTTCGTGGGCGACTCGCTGCAGCTGGGCCAGTGGCTCTCCTTCGTCTGCCTCGTCAACTCCGCCGTCCCGGACACCCCGGGCGCCAAGTCCATGGAGCGCAGCCGCACCCTCTCCGTCTACACCGTCAAAGTACGTCCCTACCCGCTTGACGACGACGGCGCTGGCCGCCGGCAGAGAGAAGGCCTCGAATTAGCTCTCGGCTAACTGCAAATCTGCACGCAGGAGTACAACGCGTCCATCGAGTTCTACTGGGCGCCGTTCCTGGTGGAGTCCAACTCGGACCGGAACATCGCGCTGGGCGCGGGCGGCCGCGTCCTGCACGTCGACGCCATCGAGGAGCACGGCAAGCACTGGCGCCGCGCCGACATCCTCGTCTTCGACAGCTACGTCTGGTGGATGACCGGCTACAGGATCAAATCGGTGTAAGCCACCCGTCACTCGAACGATAAATCTCGATGCCGTCCAACAAGCAAAAATAACCCCACACCCCGTGACACCGACACGACACGTCTTTCTTAGGTGGGGATCGTTCGGGGACGATGGGTACGAGGAGCTGGACGCCTGGGTGGCGTACCGGCTGGGCCTCAAGACGTGGGCCAACTGGGTCGACTCCAACGTCGATCCCGCCACCACCCGCGTCTTCTTCATGTCCATCTCCACCACGCACATGAGGCACACACATCATACATTCATACTCATCCTCTCCAACTTGCTCGATGATTGATAAGGGTGTAATTAAAATATCGTGTACCGTGTGCCAGGAGCGAGGACTGGGGAAGGGAAGGAGGAATCAGGTGCTACAACGAGACGTGGCCGATCACGCAGCGGGGCTACCGAGGCAGCGGCTCCGACCGTCGGATGATGGAGGTGATGTCCGACGTGCTGGGCAGGATGAGGACCCCCGTCACGCTGCTCAACATCACCCAGCTCACGGAGCACCGCGTCGACGCCCACGTCTCCGTCTACACCGAGACCGGCGGCCTCCTCGTCACCGACGAGGAGAAGACCGATCCGCAGCGCTACACCGACTGCATCCACTGGTGCATCCCCGGCGTGCCGGACACATGGAACCGACTCCTCTACGCCCACTTGTAGCCTAGCCTCTCGGCTCTCACAAGTCACAAGCACGCAACGCAACGCAAGCCCACTAGTGACTAGTGGTAGCAGCTAGCGGACAAAGGATACGGATAATGACAGCGAAAAATGAGGAGATATATTAATTACGGTGTATCGTTTCAAGGATGAGTTCGGATGAGTGATCGATCACTCTCCACATACTTGGATCGGTCTCTCTCGCACACGTACAACGACAAGGGGAGACGGTACAACAGCAGCGGCAACAAACACGCACGTACACGGGTAGTACTACAGAACGCGCCAACGTCATGGGCGATTGGTGAGAAAACACGCACACCTACTAGTACTAGCTTTATCCTTTTTTAGTGTACACCACACGGCCGTCGACGATCTCATCGGCTAGCGCGATCAATGGCCGTCCGGCCGGCCAGCTTCGAGCGTTATGCTTCCATCTTCCCGTTGGCTGTCCCGTTGGCCACAACCAGGCCGACGCCGTTCGTCCCGTTGGCCGCCATCGCGCAGTTGCCGTTGGCCTTGCCGTTGCTGTTGCCGTTGGCGTTGGCGTTTGCGTGGTTGGTGTGGTTGGCGGAGGCGGAGGCGGAGTTGTGGGAGGCGATCAGCCGGCCGGATGGGTCGTGCGACGCCTTCCACTGCTCCACCCACTCGATCGCCGCCGGCGTGCTGCACGCGATGCTCGGGCCCCACGGCACCGTCTCCCTCGCCGATTCCTGCATCAAGATTCGCGTTTCACCATGTGTCAGCACACGGTTCCAAATTAGTACTAGTACAAGTGTAGTAGTACTACACTGTACTGTACAACGCTTGAATACACATCAGTCACCTGCGGGAAGAGCCTCTCAAATATCATGCGGTAGTAGTACGCCTCCTTGTTGACGGGCGTGTTGTGCGGGTACACTTTGGCAGCGTTCTTCATCATTTCATCACTGACCTGAAGAAATGACAGAGTAAACGGGGGTCAATTTAATTAGGCGATTTATAGGACAGGACACAGGGAAATGGTCGGTAATTAGTACCTGCTGCTCGGTGAAAGCCTTCAGGCCATCGATCCAGTTGTAGCCGACGCCATCACTGAACTGCTCTTTCTGCCTGTACAGTATGTGCTGTGGAGAATTTCAGAAGTATTAGTTCAGAACACGGACAAAATTACCATTGCATCTGAAGAAACAAAAAAGAACTGCCATTTCTACCTTCGGCAGGTAAGGATGCTCCTCGTCGTCGAACGCCTTCCTCATAACCCACTTCTCGATGCGACCAAGATCAGCATTGTACTGCGTGCACACAAATAAATTGTCAACACATTCTGATCAGCAGAAATGGGACTATAACATAACATCAGCTGTTTCCCCTCATGTAAGACGAGAAATTTACCATCTTCCACTCAGGGTCCATGCTCATGGCGACGTTGATGAACTCCTTGTCGAGGAACGGCACACGGACCTCCAGTCCCCAGGCAGACGTCGCCTTGTTAGCACGCAGACAGTCATACTGATGAAGTGCTTTCACCTGCGTTGCACGTACATCAGAGTCAGAAAATTCAGAGACAGTTTCGTGCCAGCATCAGAAAGGAATTTCAGCAACAGCTTCTGTTAGTCGCGGTTGTAGTGTCAGCGGTTGCTACCTTGCGGCAGGTCTCCTTGTGGAACTCTTCCTTGTTGGGGGCGAAGTGGAAGTAGAGGTAACCGCCGAGGAGCTCGTCGGAGCCTTCACCGGACAGCACCATCTTAACCCCGAGCGCCTTGATCTTGCGCGCCATCAGGAACATCGGCGTGCTGGCCCGTATCGTCGTCACGTCGTACGTCTCGTCGTGGTAGATGACCTCCTCGATCGCGTCGATGCCATCCTAAGAAAGGCCAAATATTTCATCTTTCTGTCAGTTTTCTGACCCAGCCGTTATCCATATGAGATATGGTTTGGGGCAAAATTTTGCCTTACGAATTCTGATTGGAATCTTTAATTATCTGAAATTTTGCTTAGGAGACATGTTTTATTTTTTGTGAGCTGTTCAAGCTGGATATTCTGTCAGGTCGATCATTGCACTGGACAGCTACTCCTACATTTTTATTCTTTTCATTTTACCTGGACAGTGAAGTGGAACTCGTGATGGATGGTTCCTAGGTGGTCAGCGACCTCTCGTGCAGCTATCAGGTCAGGGGAACCCTGAAACGTCCAAGAACAAGCCAAAAAAAAAATCACTTTCCATGGTTCTTAGAGAAGACGACATAACAAGATAAGTCGTCCCAAAAACTATGGGCAAAGCCACAGACCTCAAGGCCAACGACGAAGGAATGGAGCTCAGCTCCGAACTTCTCGGCGGCTTCAGTCTTGATGAGGTGGCGCTTGGTCACCGCGGCGACGAGGGAGGAGTCGAGGCCGCCGGAGAGGAGGACGCCGAAGGGCACGTCGGTCATGAGCCTCTTGATGACGGCCTGCAAAGGCAGCGGAGCAGAGCAAGTACGTCACGGTCAGTGTCAGAGGTGTCGGTCACCATCACGCTACCGTACAAGGCCATCTCTCCTAGCTAGCTCTCGTCAGTGTGTTATAGCTTGGCACCTTCTCGAAGGCCTCTCTGAGGAGGAGTGGCTGGTACGGCGTCGCCGGGACGTTCTCGGCGAACCACTGCGGCTTGTACCACCGCCGGAGCCCGCCGGCGGCGCTGGAGTAGAGGTGGCCCGGAGGGAAGATCTCGAACTCCACGCAGTCCTCGTTCAGCGCCTTCATCTCGGACGATATCCAGACGGCGCCTGTGCATGACGGCGACAGCCAAGGAAGAAGACGAGAAAAACAGATGAAACATCATCAGTGAACTCAAGTCAAGTCTCTCTCTCTCGGTTCCGGTCACAGCAGAGACGTGAAGAATTGAAGCAGAGTGGTACACGGCGGCGTACGTACCGTCGCTGCCCCTGCCGATGTAGAGGGGGTTGACGCCGATGGCGTCGCGGGCGGCCATGTACGTCTTGGTGCGGGTGTCGTAGAGGACGAAGGCGAACACGCCGTCCAGCATGTCGACGAAGTCCTCGCCGTACTCCTCATACTTTTGGAGACATCACACAACAGCGAAAAGCAGTAACGTCAGTATCAGTACATCCAGCTACGTTTAATCGTTTTCATCTCCTTGATTACGTTCCGCAGGGGCGGATTTCGGTCTCACCAGCGGGATGATGACCTCGCAGTCGCTGCCGGTGCTGAACGTGTGCTTGGAGGCGAACTGCTTCCTGATCTTCTTGTGGTTGTAGATCTCTCCATTGGCCTTCAATTCGATCCCCACCCAGCACAAAAGGTTTAGTAAACAGCAAACTAGATAGACGTGACAGCTCTTGTCACATGTGACGAACTGACGATGGATTGATGGATGAGTTAGTTCTCTTACCACGACGACGATGGTCCGGTCCGCGTTGTACAGCGGCTGGTCGCCGGAGAGCGGGGAGACGATGGCGAGACGCTGCTGAGCGAGGAAGTTTCCCTCGCACTGGTACAACCCGGACCAGTCGGGTCCCCTGTGCTTCAGCCTACAATATCACACCGGACCAAGTCTCCCGGTCAGAAAGAACCAATCCGTCCCCAAAAGAACCATGCAAGTATACGCATCACGGCAACAGCGAAAAATAACATCTAAACCCATGGGTCTTAATGCACAACGAAGATTCCCGTGTTCCTTTTTTCTGGGTCGGTCCTTTGTTATTACTGTCTCATATCCTTACGATTCCTATGCGAACCCCTCACAAAGAGACAAAAATACATAAACAAGGACAAAACCACAACAACCACCACACCCCCCATGATCCCTACGCCTCTTCACTATAGCAAGTTCAAGAGCGGTAAAGCCGGTGGGTGCATGACAAGTTGGTGACCGGAACAGTGAACACGTACGCACGCATGTGTCGCACCGGCACGTTCATCACCCATCACCCTCGTGATCGATGATCATCATGCATGCGTCCGGCTAAAATATGGATAAGAGAATTAAGATATTGTGCATGTACAGCGCGCGGGCGGGGGTGTGTGGCGTGCTTGCCTGCGGGAGCAGGAGAGGACGTGAGCCCTCTTCGCCTGCGACCAGTCGGCGGCGCCGAGCACGGCCAGGATCCCGCACATGGTGGCGCCCGGTGGTGGAACTAACGGCGAGGCCGCGAGGATTACTACCGAGATTGAGACGGTGGATGGATGCGTATGGGTGGGGAGTGTGATGCTGTGCGCTGCTGAGATGCGGGACGAGAATTTATAGCCGGCGCGCGCGGCTCCGGGGCCTCGCGTCTGCGACGCCGGGGGGAGCACGTGGCGGGCGCCGGTTCGAGCGGCCTCGTGCGCGAGAGGATAATCCCCTCTTGGGGATTCGGATGCGGCGGTCTAGTCAGCGTGGGGCCCGGCGCGCGCGTCATGCCACGGATCGGGCCGTCGGATCACGGATCAAGGGTGCCGTGAGGCTGGGGACAGGAGGGTGAGCCCTGCACCGTGGGGAGGGGTTGGTGGGGGCTACTCCCTCTCTTAAGAGCAGCTGCAACAGCAGACCAACAGCAGATCATAAGCTAGCTATAAACATATTTTAAAGAGATAAAAATAGAGAGAGGTGGACTATAAATCTGTAGTCAACTAGATCACGGACTCCAAGATGTGTAATGTATGTATGATAGGTGGGACCATGTATTAATAATATAGTAAGCAACTATTGTATGAACTTGCTTACATTGACTATAAATAATTTGAAGTTAGTAGTTGGCTATACTATTAAACTTGCTATAATGCTTCATCTATCTATTTTTCATAGTCATATTTTATCTTGCCACAATGACAAAAATAAGTAATTATGCTTATCATATATTTAAATATACTACTAGTTATTCCTTGTAAACAAACGATTCATTAATATTTATATTTCTCGATGCCCATCTAGCCAATCTTGTGTGCAAGAATGGAGAGCCACGCATTAAATCCGAGAAAATCATTAAGATGGTAAGTGATTAGATTAAAATATGGCTATCAAAAATAAATTTTTCAGATTTAAAAATATGTCTATCAAAACTAGATGGAGGGAGTATTAGATGTGACACTTACTAATACAATGAATCTAGATATATTTACGGATCGGAACTATAATATGTTACTACATTTAGTACTAGATTACAATGAATCTGGAAATATCTATGAATCTG